AATAGTTATGCTTTCTGAGGGTGTCTGTATTAAATTTGACTTAACAATAGTCTTAACAAGATCTTTATCACCAAATACATTTTGATAGTTCCTGCATGTTTTTCTATCCCTTTCTGACACCTTCTAATTATCACTTTCTTTCTCACATTTGCACATTTTACAATACCTTGAATCGCAGCTCTCCAACTGGCTGCTTCGTATATGGAACTCCTCGGAAGCTGGCGTAGACACTGCCAGCCTCGCTCAGGCGCGTCAGCCCGCACACCCATCCGTATTCTGTCCTCGCACGTACGTCACAGGGGATCTCATGGCTTGCAGACACTGTAAATAGATAAAGAAACCTTTAATTCATTGCACTATAAAATTACGAATTTAGATGTAAAGTATTGGTAGTCTTATCGCCTAGAGCAAAAAGTTATTTACTATCTTATGAAAGAGAAAGAATGTTTTCAATAAAAGTACAAAAATTTTTGGTCAACTAAGGTATTGTTGTATTATTCATGTGCTTATTGTATAAGTTGTTGGCGCTTTGGAGTCTCTATAAGCCTACAAGCAGCTTCTAATAAATGAATCAATTTTAATGACAATTTTTAACGACACTTACAGCCACTAAAAACTGCAACAAAAACGAACACATTAAAATCCATAATTCACACGTCTGATACAAAACTGATCACGCGATCGACAACTGAACGAAACTGTGTGTTTTAGTTTAATAATTACCGATTGATTGATGTGCCGTTGCAACATTGTTGAATGCTGATTGCACACACCGACAATATGGGGCAGTTTTGTAAAGCAATACCTGAGTGCCTTTTCCTGCGATGCGGAATTCGGCACGCGTGGGGATCTGTAGGCCTAGGATGCGCGCCGCGATAAGCGTTTATTGCGCCATTTTATCGATTTTACGCGACAAGCCCATACGTTTGTCGTCTAAAATCATCGATAAGATTTTATCACGGCGCGCATCCTAGCACGGCTGGTCCGCTAATGATATAGAGACTTTGCTCATCTCTAAATAAGAAGAATCCTCTCTTTTTCTCGTAAGTGAATAAATAGAGACAAGAAAGTCAAACTAAAGTTCGCCCCGCACCGAGTAAAAGTGGTACTCAGTGAAAATTACATCCCACCAAAAACATTCTGTAAAAAACTAGCCAAGTCTCGATGGAGCTGCTTGTTTATCTCTAAAAAGTAATGAAATCTAGACAAAGTCGTGCCAAGTCTATGGTTCCTTACTGCGATTTCTTTATTATTATAGTTAATGTTGTGTGACTTGGCCGTTGAAATCTTCGATTTTCCTAGTTTTTATAGTTTTCCCTTTATGTGGCCATTAAACCCTAACTCTGTACCAAATTTCAGCCCTCTGAGTTAATGGGAAGTACTAGTTCTATTTTGATGATCATCAGTGAGTGAGTGAGAGAGTGAGTGTCGTAAATGCGAAACTTTGCTTTCGCTTAACTTCGGAACTAAATGACCTACAGACTTGAAATTTTGGGTTTAAAGTATGTGATTATAGCTTACTACATGACGAAAATTTCTGCGTTCTGGTCTTATCCAGAGGTTCTCAAATAGGGGCCTGAAAATGCGGCGAAATGGTTCCAGTAAAGGATGGTACGGCAGTGTTTGCTTCGCGCTCGACTTGGCGGGGGCACTGCCGTGCCCCCAGATAGGACATACTTCTTTTTTAAACGCGCAAAAATCATCATATTGCCAGTTGAAAATGAGGTCAAACGCACTCAGTTCTATGTAAAAAGGATCAGTTTCCTTGCAAGCGTGTGTAGGAAGGCCGTACTAGGGCACTATTTAAGTTGTGAGCCTCGACAACAAACGTGTTGTTAGACGACATCTGATACTTTTAATGAAAAGTTTGACATTTTTGACTACAACCTTATTCAAAACTTTTTATCATTTGAGCACGTTTTGTATTATTAACATTGCATTGAAAATTATCTTGACTACAAAAACATGGAATTGACTTGCGGAAATTTTCGCGCGAAGATTTATTATGACTTTCGACGTGGTTAATCAATACAAAACTGAAGCGGTCAGCTAAATTTCACTTTTGGTGATAAAGATCTGTCCTTTACCATTGTAAAACGCTAGTTTAAGAAGTATAATATTGTATGTCATTGGCTCACCAGTGAACTTTGCGAAAGTCGTCCAAAATGACTAATAGTGGCGGAAAACATTGATGTTGTCAGAAAAATGGAAGAGAAACCTCGTCATGTGATATATCGTAGGATTGAGATAATCCTAGGCATTAATTCCACTAGCAGTAATAAAATATTGTATGACCATATTATGGTTAATACGTTTTTTTCTCGCTGGATGTCACAAAATTTTTCAAACGCTCAATAGGACGCTTGTGTCGTTTAGTCCTTGGAAATGTTTGATAAATACGTTTAAAAAGCTTTAAAAGCCGTTTTTAAAATTGTGACAGTTGACGAATTAAGGATCTATGCATAATGATCCTGAAAATAAACAGCTATCGACTATGGAGGTGTTTTAAGATGAACCAATTCCAACAAAAGTCCCATGCGCTCGGAACACTTTGAAACTTACGGTCGCCTATTTTTCCGAAATATTCGATTATATGACAGAAACGTCAATAGAGAAATTTAGAATGGTTAATTCTTAATAGTAAACAGCCACTTTTTTTTCAAAAGTCTTCAGTTTAATAAGGGTTACTGGCCAACATAGTCGAATCGCCATTCATGACGAAAATGTGAGCTTTTACACGTCTCGTCAAACAACTGACTATTTGAACACTCAAAATATAAAATAAACAGGTCCAACGCTACAAAATTCTTGCTTGGAATCTAAACACTTCTTTTGGTACCCATTATATTAAAATTAAATGCGTGAACAGCGATTTATGTAGCCAGAAGCAACTGTCGGTGCGGTCAAAAACCATGCTTTGGAGGTGCCTCAAGCTGAGTGGAAAAAATGCTATGAAAAGTGTTTCGGACACATTAAAAAGTACATAAATCATGAAAGACAATACCAATAAATGCAATCAATACCATTTTAATAATATACTACTTTGTTTTCATAGTTAGGCTCACAACTTAAATAGTGTCCCACGTATATGTAACGTGTGGCATCTGGGCAGAACTGAATGAAAGTGGATGACTCACAAACTGGTCGGGCAGGTTGTAACTTGGAAACACATGTGGTTGAGCCTTAACTACTCCCACAACTTTTTGTACGATTCAGAATAAACGGACCCAATAATTTTGAACCGCAGGTGATGTTGTGAAATTATGCTATTTTCTGTTACAAAGAGCACTTAAATTAGTAGTATAGAATAGTGCTCATATTTTATTGCAATTTGCAACAGACTATGACAACTGTTGTGTTATTATGTTGCGTATCTTTTTAGTGTAGCTATGACTGTCCTTACATATGTATGTATTTAATTCTTTTATACCTACTGACTTTTTATCCAAAGATGCTTGCGATTGAATGCAGTATTTTTAATGCATCGCTTAAACAACTAAATGCCATTCACCGCTTTTTTAAATTAATTAAAGTAATCAATATAACTTACACAAGTTCGAGAAATTGCGCGCACACGCAGCGGCACGCGTCACCAGACGCGTAGTGCAAGCCCGCGTTGGACGTCTGGAGCGGGCACTCACTTTAAGTACCCACGCTTTTAGCGTTTAAGCCTATAACAGATTACCTTTACCTCATGACTTACATACTCCTCTCGTTGTTACAGCCATGAGCCGGAGGGCGGCGGGCGGTGCGGGGAGGGGCCGCTAGCGCGCGCCATGCAGCCCGTACCGCCGGGCGGCTCGCCCAAGAGACACCCGGCCGCTGCCAGCGCTGCACATGGTAAGAACTCAGGTTAATTCATCCATCAACAGCCTATGTCTGACAAGCTACCTGCCCTCAGTCACTCATCATCAGTTCAGGATCATTATGCAGCCCGTACCGCCGGGCGGCTCGCCCAAGAGACACCCGGCCGCTGCCAGCGCCGCACACGGTAAGAACTCAGGTTAATTCATCCATCTACAGCCTATGTCTGACAAGCTACCTGCCCTCAGTCACCTCAGCCATCAGTCCAGGATCATTATGCAGACCGTACCGCCGGGCGGCTCGCCCGAGAGACACCCGGCCGCTGCCAGCGCCGCACATGGTAAGAACTCTTCAGGTTAATTCCTCCATCAACAGCCTATGTCTGACAAGCTACCTGCCCTCAGTCACCTCAGCCATCAGTCCAGGATCATTATGCAGACCGTACCGCCGGGCGGCTCGCCCAAGAGACACCCGGCCGCTGCCAGCGCCGCACATGGTAAGAACTCAGGTTAATCATCCATCTACAGCATAATTCACAACTTAAATAGTGTCCCACGTATATGTAACGTGTGGCATCTGGGCAGAACTGAATGAAAGTGGATGACTCACAAACTGGTCGGGCAGGTTGTAACTTGGAAACACATGTGGTTGAGCCTTAACTACTCCCACAACTTTTTGTACGATTCAGAATAAACGGACCCAATAATTTTGAACCGCAGGTGATGTTGTGAAATTATGCTATTTTCTGTTACAAAGAGCACTTAAATTAGTAGTATAGAATAGTGCTCATATTTTATTGCAATTTGCAACAGACTATGACAACTGTTGTGTTATTATGTTGCGTATCTTTTTAGTGTAGCTATGACTGTCCTTACATATGTATGTATTTAATTCTTTTATACCTACTGACTTTTTATCCAAAGATGCTTGCGATTGAATGCAGTATTTTTAATGCATCGCTTAAACAACTAAATGCCATTCACCGCTTTTTTAAATTAATTAAAGTAATCAATATAACTTACACAAGTTCGAGAAATTGCGCGCACACGCAGCGGCACGCGTCACCAGACGCGTAGTGCAAGCCCGCGTTGGACGTCTGGAGCGGGCACTCACTTTAAGTACCCACGCTTTTAGCGTTTAAGCCTATAACAGATTACCTTTACCTCATGACTTACATACTCCTCTCGTTGTTACAGCCATGAGCCGGAGGGCGGCGGGCGGTGCGGGGAGGGGCCGCTAGCGCGCGCCATGCAGCCCGCGCCGCCGGGCGGCTCGCCCAAGAGACACCCGGCCGCTGCCAGCGCTGCACATGGTAAGAACTCAGGTTAATTCATCCATCAACAGCCTATGTCTGACAAGCTACCTGCCCTCAGTCACTCATCATCAGTTCAGGATCATTATGCAGCCCGTACCGCCGGGCGGCTCGCCCAAGAGACACCCGGCCGCTGCCAGCGCCGCACATGGTAAGAACTCAGGTTAATTCATCCATCTACAGCCTATGTCTGACAAGCTACCTGCCCTCAGTCACTCATCATCAGTTCAGGATCATTATGCAGACCGTACCGCCGGGCGGCTCGCCCAAGAGACACCCGGCCGCTGCCAGCGCCGCACATGGTAAGAACTCAGGTTAATTCATCCATCTACAGCCTATGTCTGACAAGCTACCTGCCCTCAGTCACTCATCATCAGTTCAGGATCATTATGCAGACCGTACCGCCGGGCGGCTCGCCCAAGAGACACCCGGCCGCTGCCAGCGCCGCACATGGTAAGAACTCAGGTTAATTCATCCATCTACAGCCTATGTCTGACAAGCTACCTGCCCTCAGTCACTCATCATCAGTTCAGGATCATTATGCAGACCGTACCGCCGGGCGGCTCGCCCAAGAGACACCCGGCCGCTGCCAGCGCCGCACATGGTAAGAACTCAGGTTAATTCATCCATCTACAGCCTATGTCTGACAAGCTACCTGCCCTCAGTCACTCATCATCAGTTCAGGATCATTATGCAGACCGTACCGCCGGGCGGCTCGCCCAAGAGACACCCGGCCGCTGCCAGCGCCGCACATGGTAAGAACTCAGGTTAATTCATCCATCTACAGCCTATGTCTGACAAGCTACCTGCCCTCAGTCACTCATCATCAGTTCAGGATCATTATGCAGACCGTACCGCCGGGCGGCTCGCCCAAGAGACACCCGGCCGCTGCCAGCGCCGCACATGGTAAGAAAAAGAACTTTAAAAAGACGATCCATTTAGTTATTTTATTCATCAACAGCCTTACGTCGACTACTTTCCCTTCTGGCCTTTAGCGATAAGCTGCTAACGCTGCACTGACAGCTCAAGGTAAGAACTCCTCAGCAAATCATTTATCAACAGTCAGTCTGAGTCTGAAGTGCCAGTGCTGCTTATGGTATTAGTCCATGCCCATTATGCAACTCGTATCGCTAGGCGGCTCGCCCAAGGAACTCGCCGTACGCTGAGGTTGTCTTACTCTACAGTCCACGTCCTGTAACCACATCACTAGCTAGGCTCGCGCCAAAAGAATCTCGGCTCCTACCAGTATCGCTTACAGTACGTAAATTCTATGTGAAAAGACGCATCCATAGCTTGCAGATGATGACGACGATGATAATGAGATCAATATGGTCTAGCGATAGAAGACCCGAAAAAATATTACCAAGAAACTTATCTTCCTCCACCCACTAAGGTTACGAACCCCCGAAGCTCCAATCACAAGTATATTTATGTAGCTAAGTTAACAAGTGTTTGTTTACAAGCTCCGGCATAATAAAACGCGAATAATAATCCCCTGTCGTCGGCTCGAGCCCGGATTTAGGGGAAACCAGCCAGACAATGGAGGGGCTCCTTGATTGAAACTAAGTTAAATGTTCTCAGTATCCAACAATATGAAAATCTACATAATGTTTGAGGCATTAGTTTGTTAGGTAGTTGCACAGTATATTTTTTTTGTATATACTTAAAGGGGGTAGATATATTGTCTAAATAATATTTTTGTATCTACTCGAAAACTATTTGGAAAGTTTGTTTGCAGTAAGTGGAATTCTTTACACAAAACATGACGTGATATCTGAACTGATCAATGGAAACTAAGAGCATAGGCATGGTTTACTTACACAAAGGCTGAATTGTTTCCAGAACTTTTTCAGACTGGTTCAATTCTCGATAAAACTGATGTGCTGATAGTTTTTAAATTGAAATAAAATATTAAACTCTGTGCTATGCGAAGGCCCTTAGACTTTTAAATACGCCCCTGACAGGATTGCTCATTTGTTTCATTTTAATGAACCAAGCATTATATTACGGAGGCAAAAAACCGGCCAAGTGCGAGTCGCATTCGCACACAAGGGCTCCGTACAAGTTTGAATATGCTGTACTTTTGCTATCTATTAAATACATACTTCGTACCTACATCAAACCGAAAACAGCAAAAAAAAACATGTTTCTTGTGTGAGCCTCTCTGTTGTTATAGCGGCATACATATTTTGAGAAAATTTGAACTGTACTACTACATTTTATGATTAAAAAAATATAGCGTCAAAATAGCACACGGGGAGGCACATTTTAGGCACAATTTTAGGTTTCCATTACCAGTCACCCCTGAGTACGGAACCCTAAAAATGTGGGAAGATTCCATAGATTGAAAAATACGTTTTACATTTTATGTGGCTTTGCGAGAAATGGAGAACCATACTGGAATTGTGGTTTCTAATTTGTAGAATGTACGAGTATTTTTCCAACGGTTGAATAATAAAAATGAGATGCACGTGATTTAAAAAGCTTTTGCGAGAGGTAAATTATTATCTAATCTCGAAGTTTTTAAAAATTAATAGTTAGGTCGTTTTATTTATTCTGATATCAGCACCTATGTACCCAAGCAACTGCACTCAGGAGGATTTGATGAGTGCTACTGACAACGCCACTCTTGTGGCGGAGTTTTGGGCTGACACTGTGTAGGTTTGTTGTCGACACGAAAAGAAGAAGAAGCACATAGTAGCAGGATTTAGGATTTCTTAAACTTAACCATAATCAGGTGAATGCATAACATGTTTGATTTAATTCTTTATTTTAATAGGTAAGCCCTTTTCAGGGCACTTTTACCAAATATAGCTTGCCTCACCAGAAAAACATATCTGGTGTAAACATATCTAGAAAATATACGTAAATCAAAATTTTCATTTTTAAGTACCTACCTACTAATAGTGACTTGAGTTTCTTGCGCTGCTTCTTCTCGGCAGTGGCTCATTTATTGTCCCGAAGCAATGGTAGTTTTAAAGTAGGTAAGTAATACAGGGACGTGTAAATCCATCTTGCAATGTTAATGAATTTGAATATTGTACAGTCGTCAGCACATAAGACCTTTTAATATTTGTTGCGGTGTAGCCTCTGCTTTATCTACATACAGGGTGTTTAGCTGATACTCTGTTGCTGGAATTAAGCTTAAATAAACAACCCATTTTGTCACGTCTGTGTACCGACTGTCTGATGCGGTGGTGACGTCACGCCAATCAATACGTACGTAACGAGCTCGATGCCTTTGTATGGAGGTTAATTAACGCTTTTAATAGGGAAGCTGTGTAATGAAGATATTATTTTGGTTATTGGGAACCTTATTTATTATTTAATGAAGATTTTTCGGAAGCTTTGCTAAATAATAAGAAAAGTAGACTGATAGGACTATGATGTGCCTATAGTTTAATGACCTCTAAGTACTCATACAGACTAGTATTTATAGAGTATTTCATATCATCATCATTCAGACAAACGAAGGACTTGGCCTACTCCCCCTTATCAGACGAGTTGAAAGGCCTCATATTCATTGCCGTTATGATTGATAACTGATATTCCCTGAGATACTTTTCCTATTCCCTTCTTTCCCTACCCTCACTGTATTAGGTTTCTTGTTAAGTTTGGTAACAGGACTATTCCCAAATCTCGTTCCCACTGCTGTAATGCCGGTGTAGCCAGAATCTACAGCTTAACGCCAATAAAAACCAACCAGTGAAGGCCAGTTTATCCTGGAGAAAGCTTGAGAGTTTTGTAAGCTAATTAAGAAAATCACTGCCCTGTCTTTTAAGGTGCCATTGAATACTTACTTACAGGGCAGATTATGTAACATCCTAGACTGCATCTCACTTAACACCAGGTTCGATTGCGGTCAAATCAGTGGCGGATTTAAATTTTTGCCGCCCGTAGGCTAGAAATCTTTATTTAACTTTTATCTTCTGAAATCGAGTAAGCGTCATCTGAAATCTGCCGTAATAGGACGCTGCCGCCCCTAGGCCGCGGCCTATACGGCCTATTGACAGATCCAGGACTGGATCAAATACCTGCCTTGTTATGCATAAAAAACATTAAATATGCCCTGTTTTTTCCAGGCACACCAGCGGGCGACCAGTCCACCCTGAAGGTGCACCTGCCCAATGGCGGGTTCAACGTGGTCAGAGCGTCGGCTGATGAAGACGTCAGGTCGGTGCTCCGGCTGCTGGCAGCGCGGCTGGCTTCGGGCGACCGAGTCTACACGTCCTGTTACGCGTTGAGGGCCAGAAGACTTACCACGGGAAAAGTGAGTGTTATAAGTCCACTGCTTAAAGGTTTTAGCATCTTATTCACTCTTGTCTTGAAAGCTGTAGACATCGGAAGGTGTCGACTCACTATCACCAGCTAAAGCTGTTGATTGCAGTAGGTACCTACTCGTAGAATAGTAATAAGAAAACGCTTCATGCTTTTGTTTCTATAGTCTCTTCTTCAATACAGTCGACTGAATGATGGCTTCCCTCCATTTACTTCTCATCTTTTGGCCTCCTTATTTGGACCAAAACCAAATTGTCTAAAGCAAAAAGTTTTATCTTGCAAAACTAGCCTTGACCTGTCAGAACTTACAAATCTAACATCACCCTCCCTAACTTTCTCCTATTCCCAGATCCACCAAGACACGCCGGTGTCAGCTGTTGACAAAATGGCTGCCTAACTTCCAAACTTGTATATTCCAGATAAGATGGATCCACCAAGACACGCCGGTGTCGGAGCTGCTCACAAAATGGCCGGCGAGCGAGTGGCGCCTAGAACTGCGCGTGCGCTACTTGCCGGCCAACCTGCGAGCGCTGTGCGACGCAGACCGCGTCACGTTCCACTATTACTACGACCAGGTATTACAAATACTCAATACTCAGGATATACTCAATACTCAGTATATACTCAATACTCAGTATATACTCAATATTCAGTACTCAATATGCTCATTAATTGGCTGGTGAGGGAGTCGCTGCTGTGCGAGGCCGGCCTGGTATTTTTAATACAAAATCTCAGTAGGTACTCAATACTCAGTGCTCAATATTCAATCATGCAAAAAATGAGCTGATTTTTAAACACTGATTCAGAAATCAATATCGTATTCAGGATCTGTGATCTTGAATGATCAACTTGAACATGACCTCTTGTTGATAGGTATTTGTCTATAATTTCATGTTACTCTGAAAGCTTTAAATATGTTTCTTTAATTTCCAGGTTCGACATGACTACCTCAACGCCAACCATCCTATGGTAGACCAGGATTTGGCGATACAAATATGTTGTTTAGAGATTAAGTAAGTATAAAAAACTATAAGTACATATTTTGAAATGTCTAATGTAGTTTATTACTTTACTTTGAAAGTAATAGATGATTTAATATCATAAATATGTAAAACAAACAATAATTTACGTGTTCATTGAATTAAAGAGGGTTTAATTGGACTATAAACACTTATAATAGCTTAATTGATCGTATAATCAACACACGTAATATTTATGGTTTAATTATTCATCCAAGAATATTCCGTAATAATATCCCACATAAGGTAGACTTACTCATAGGATGTGTCGAGGCCATTTCTCTAAAACATGGAACTATAGCTCGCGCAATAAGAATTGAGGCAAACTATCGTTGCGCGACCTGCGAGTATGCTTAAAACGCTTACAAAGTATTAAGCAATGGCAGCCCGGACTTATTGTGTAACTAATTTAAAACTTATCTAAAGAATTCCATAGTCAAGAAATGGATTATGAACGAGTTTGTGGGATTTGATGAATCGACCACAATAAGGAAGCTAAAGTGTTAGTGCTTCCTTCCGAACGGGCTTTGTGCTCAGGGACCAAGGTATTATTACCATCTCGGTTTTTCTATTTATGCTAGGCTAGGGGGGTATCTACCCTGCCTATCGTGGTATCTACCACGATACCACGATGCAGGATTGTAGGCGCGGTAGTGTATATAAATAATATCCTTAGACATTTTNGTAGGTGTAACGCCCCGGCAACGCCCCGCTTTCATCATCGTGTTGTAAATTCAGCAAAGCCGAGGGGCATTTTTGGAGGATTTTCGGAGGTAGTAGGCTAGACGTAAGCCCCGTTAACGCCCCGCACTTGTATCACGAGGTAGGAAGCTGGACCAACGCCCCGGTAACGCCCCGCACATGTACCAGGAGGTAGGAGGCTCAACGGCCCGCCGCACAGTAGTTTGATTTTAAAAAAAGGTGGACATACGATCGAAAGTCATAATTTCACCGAAACAAAAATTGTTTTGGATAGCATTTTGAATGCTGATCAACATTTGTCATTATGCATTTTTCGATAAAACGAGCCTTTCATGCTTAAAAAAATATGACAAGAAAATTTGTATGGAGAAAAATCTTTTTTATTTTTTTTCTGGCTACCTATGGTGCCTAACATTACTACATAAATACTTTTTGCGGGCATTACTCGCTTGGCCGCGCGTGCCCGCAAAAAGTATTTATGTAGTAATGTTAGGCACCATAGGTACTTACGACTACATAAGGTTTGACCGCTACAGTTTGCAATAGTAGCCAGAAAAAAAATAAAAAAGATTTTTCTCCATACAAATTTTCTTGTTATATTTTTTTTAAGCATGAAAGGCTCGTTTTATCGAAAAATGCATAATGACAAATGTTGATCAGCATTCAAAATTCTATCCTAAACAATTTTTGTTTCGGTGAAATTATGACTTTCGATCGTATGTCCACCTTTTTTTAAAATCAAACTACTGTGCGCCGGCAGGCTTCGAGCTACTCCAAGTACCAGGAGGTAGGTATGCCGTACGCCCCGGTAACGCCCCGCTTTCATCATAGTATTAGTGTTGTAAAAGCCGAGCGGCATTTTTGGAGGATTTTCGGAGGTAGTAGGCTAGACGTACGCCCCGGTAACGCCCCGCACTTGTGCCAGGTGGGTAGTAGGAAGTTTGACGTACGCCCCGGTTACAGTGTCCGGTGAGGCAGTGTCCTTTTTAGGCCTTCTTTCGTTCGTCTTTAGGCCAGTCAAGAAAAACATCCGATTGGTCGCTTCCAGATGAACTTAAACGAATTTTTTACCAGTTTCTAGTGAATAATTAAGCTACCTGCCCAATTTTTTTCCGATTTTTCTGATGGCTAGAATCTCGATTATCCGGGCTTCGATTATCCGGATATCCGATTATCCGGACTCATTCTTCATGGTTTCTAATTACCGATTCAGGATCTGGACCCATAAAAACCGAAGGCGCCGCCAACGTAACATGGTACGGACGTCTTTTTGGTTCATTGGTAAAAGAAATGGATGTCCAATGGTCTAAAATTTAGATTTTTAGACTCTAAAATGATGTATTGAAAACCCTTTCTGTTGTAAAAAGTTAAGTATTGTTTGATTTTACTTTGAAATCGATTATCCGGATTTTCGATTATCCGGACCACCCACTAATTGATCCGGATAATCGGGATTCTAAAGCCTGGTCCGTGAGCACGTAGAATCCCGTCCAATGACCCCAAGCCGCCCATCCTTGTCGCTCGCGCGTAATTATGTTGCTGTCGCGCTCGCACACTCACTGCGCGGGCGCCCGTCGCACAGTCGCGACAGCAATATAATTACGCGTGAGCGATAAGGATGGGTAGCTTGGGGTCATTGGACGGGATTCTACGTGCTCACGGACCAGGCTTTACTGTATGAAGGATTGTACAGCGCCCCTAGCGGGAAACTTTCAAAAACTAAAATTTTCACACATTTTTAAACGTGCTCACGTTGTAAACTCTCACTCAGCCCACAGGTGATCCGTTTGCTCTGTTGCCATAAAATGCCGTAAAAAAAACTATTTATTTTCCCCCAGGTGCTTTTCAATACTGCGCCCGGCTACTCGTCGGGGCTGGAGCCCGTCGCCCGCGCCCGCAGCCCCCGTGGAGACCCGGCTTTCGACCGGGGGTTCTAGGCTCGCTGGACATAGCAAGGACATACGCAGTTCAAATAGTTAAATAAAAAAAAAAGTTCCAATTTTAAACATTTTCGGACATAGTGTAATAAAAGGCTTCCAGTTTCCAATTCGAGACGCTGCCTTCCATGACAGAGGGTTCTAGGCTCGCTGGACATAGCAAGGACATACACAGTTGAAATAGTTAAATAAACCAATTTTAAACATTAACTAAAAAAAAGTTCCAATTTGTCAACATTTTTCGCGCGTAAGACTAAATAGGGTGTAATAAAAAGGCTTCCAATTTCTAATGCGGGACGCTGCCTTCCAAGACAGAGGGTTTTAGGCTCGCATGGACATAGCAAGGACATACACAGTTTCAAATAGATAAATAAAAACAAAAGTTCCAATTTGTCAACATTTTACGCGCGTAAGACTATAATAGGAATAATAGGATGTAATTTAATTAGACTTAAACAGAGCAAGTTCTAATTTATTATACCAAGTTCCAATTTGGACTGTTAAACATAGCAAATTAGTTGATTGAAAACAGCAAAAACAAAAAAAAATATCTTTGTTTTTTTGACATAAAGCGAGGTTTAGACTAGTAATCAAACTTGCAGAAGTTGACTTCCGCAAGCTGTCACCACTGTAAATAGCCGCGGCAAGCCAACTTCTGCAAAATTTATACAGTGGTAGCTTGCAAAGTCCATTCCATTTCTGCAAATGTTATTGCTAGCCTAAACCGCGCCTTAGACTTAAAATATATGTAATAATAAGGCTCATGTATCTAGTTAGTAAGTCGCCCTTTTAAGTATTTCTAAAACAGGTTGTCCTTAGCAAGTTCGGTAATATGTCTAAAAGGTCACTCTGTATCATTTTTACACTGCCAAGTTATCCATGCTGGATTTGCTCTTTGCTACTTATATTTTAAAGTTCTGAGTATATAATTAATTATAGTATTAAGTACAATAATATACAATATGAATAACATTGTAACTTACACTTTTGTACAACTTTTAACAGACACAATATCTATTCCATAAAGTTGTACAAACATGTAACTTGAGTTACAATGTTATTCGTATTGTGCGTCAATATAATAATAATCAAGCAATAAAATGTGAATGAAACATTATTAATAACATTACAACGTACGAGTATATGCCTTATGTAAATGAAAAATTGTAATAGTGCATTTTATATGAATTAGCGATTCCGTTTAAAACCGTACTTATGTTCATAATCAACAATAACAATATTGAATAAATATTTTTGGGTTTACGTGTAGATTTAATATTGCTAAAATACGTCTAAAATAGACGATAAATGATCAAAACATATTTAGAGTTAAATTTAAGTTTTTAACTGAAGCTGGAAGTGATTGTAGGCTTAAGAATATGACTGTAAAATACTTAATGTAAATAAAACATTTGATTTTGTAAAGACATTTTATTATTTTGATTTCGACGGCGACATCTAGTTGGTAATTTCAGAACCCATGATAAATATAGTGCCTCTTTAATTTTTTTAAATGCAAGAAACCTTCGCTTTAAAATTCTGCAAGTTTTGTTGCTAGTTAAAACAAAAGACTAGCAATATAAAAACTTGCAGAAGTTGACTTCCGCACGCTGTTTTCTACTGTAAATAGCTGTTGTGGTATAAGCCAACGTTGCAAGATTTACAGTGGTGGTGACAGCTTGCGGAAGTCAACTTCAGAAAATTTTATTGCTAGTCTAAACCTCTCATAACAGAGAAAATTCAAGTTCTCACATTCTCTCTCAGTCGTAAGTTTATTAGCAATTTATTAACCAAGCTGGGAAACTAATTTATGCCGTCTCTACTATGACAGCTACTCGAAGACTAAATCGAAAATATGCGGCGTTGATTCTGCAATTCGATTTGTAACTGAGCTAACAATAAGTGAGCTATTTAACAGTTGAATCGGAGACAAGAACAGAAATATCGATTAAGTTGAGTGAACATTCAACATCACTAGTAAGTATGATATGTCAGTCAAAAAAAAAATCACTTTGCTTGTTTGTTGATTACGTTACGTTGTTTACAAATTCGGTTCATACGTTTTGTAAGCGCTTTTTAACATCATTTTAGATAAAATATGCAAATTACTTGCAAAAAATAAAAATACAATAGATGTGACTTGACTTGAAGAAGAGTAGCATAAAGTTTCTATTTCATAACCTTACAAAAACAAATCGTGTTCGTAATTCAGTGCAATTTATCAACTAAAATGCTTGTTAGTCTATTTTAATCATAATAACTTTACACCTAGTTGCTATTTAACAGGTAAGCCTGCAATTTTTCAATAATGGAAGACTCTCAAGACTCGAACTTGAAAGAGAAACATGACACGGAGTTCGACGCGTTCACTGATGGCAAGACTGTGCAAAGGAGGTACCGGCTAAGAGAGCCAAAACCGTAAGTCTGAAAGCCAAGTCATAAAAGTAATTTATTTTCTACTAAAAGGCTTTAAAATTGCTTTTATATGTCCCAGTGTTACTTCTATAACCCAAACCACTGCTTTTAGACAATAAATGGGCCAATGCTAAGGATTTTATTTTCCCTAACTCAATGAAAGTATCAATTCCTAACTTACTGTCCTTTCTCTAAGTTGTCTGGAATATATTGTTTTGTAGCAATGAGACTAAATTGTACTGTACAGTATTAATTAGTTTTGTGATGTAATTAATCATCAGTTTTGTGTTGTAACTAGAGTGCAATACATACTTATTATTAACCCTTAATCTTACCTATGCTTTATTATTTCAGAGTGAAGAAAGAAATCGTAGAGGAGATACCAACAAAAGTAAGCCGCAAAAAAGAACTTAAATATGATTCTGACGCACAAACATATGAATGCCAAAAGTGTATGAAAAATTTTGACACAAAAACTGGCCTTTTGAACCACATCCGAATGCACGATGCCGTTAAAAAGTTCACATGCGCTCTCTGCAATGAAGAATTTGCTACGAACGAAAAATTAATCAAACACAAAGTTGTCCATAAGGACGAAGATAGGACTTTCTTTTGCAAGAATTGCAAATTGGCCTTTACTGACCATTGCGACTTCTTGATCCACGATTTAACTCACACAAACAAGAAAATGTACAAGTGTGTTGAATGCTCTTTGTATTACAAACAGCATTACATGAAACTGCACATCGAGACACATTTCGATAAGAAATTACAATGTAATAAGTGTAATAAGTATTTTCAAACGCCAACCACTTTTAAAGTGCATATGAAAACTCATGATAAATCCACTCATCTAGAGTGTGTAGAGTGTGGTAAGTCGGTAATTGACAAAAAAAGTATGGATTACCACATGATATCGCACACCGGAGTGAAACCGTACCAATGTTTGTACTGCGGTGTTGGTTTTGCAACTACTCAACAGAGAACTGTCCACACGAGAAAACACACAAACGAGCGGCCTTACCAGTGCGATATATGTGATCGTAAATTTAAGCAGACGTCCGATCTGAAATATCATATGATAACGCATGACACGGAGAAAAAATTTGAATGTGAGGAATGCGGAAAAAAGTATTTCCATGCACAAGGGCTTCGTTATCATATGAAAAGTCACACGAAAGAGGATTTGTTTGATTGTCCTCAATGCGATGTGAAGTGTCCGTCGCGTCAAGCCCTGAGAACTCATTTGGTTTATAAACACATGGATTCGAAGGACTTTAAGTGTGATTACTGCAATCTTTCGTACAAAACTATTACAGCAATCAGAAGACATTATAAATCGAAGACACATCAAAGGGCTGTGTATGGTAAATGTAAAGATGAAACAGAAGAATAGATGAAAAGTGGCCTGAGGTCAATATTTTTGTACATGAACTGTCTAAGACGTGCCACAGAAATGAATCCAAAAAGAGATCAGTGGGTTAATTTTAATAAGTTCCAAATTATAATTTTTTGCTGTAACATTTAAAATGACTGTGCAACTGGCATAGACGGAGAAGAAAATTATTTTATTAAAATATTTTTTACTGTTTTAAAAGTGTTACTGGTGTTACAAACAGCAATTAGCTCAGTGTACAATTTTGCTTCACAGACAATGTTTTTTGCACTATTACTTATTATCAGTTGTTTTTTTTATTATTATTCATATTTTAATCATTTAAAAAACGAATAATAATTATTCGTGAATATTTTTATCCTATTGTGTCTATTAATTATTGTAATTAATTATCATTAAAATTGTTAACATTATAATATTTCCTATTAAATGCATTGAAATTATTATTTATGTGTTAATTATTTTGCAAATCCCAGAAACTTTTATACCACTGGCGTCGCCCGTGTGTAATTTTTTGTCAAGCACAAAAAATTCGAACGCATCCCTGTTTCAGAAACCGGGGCAAAACTATCCTATGTCCTTTCCCGGCACAAATTTCATCAAAATTGGTTCAGTAGTTAGTGTACTTTTATTAAACGAATTTACTAACATTCCTAATAATACAAATCGAATAAGAAATTAATTATAAACACAATCATAATCGAAAGTGCTTTTTATTGAGCGTCTTGGCACATCACTATCGGCTGTCAACCTATAAAAAAAATAGTCAAGTAAATATTTTTTGTATCGTCTAATTTTTAATGTAAATTAATGTTTAATGCTTATTTCTGTACATATACGTTTAGGATAAATCATGTGTAATCTGCCTTAGTTATTTTGTGGTGTGTGTAGTGTTTACTTTTCGTGTATTGTGCTGGTAAGTGCGAGCGCTTGGTTCGTGACTTCTAACCTTCTATTCCAAGATTTCGCGCGAAAAACTCTTTTGAAGAGTATCAAAACAAACCTGCAACTGATATAAATGCTGGGATATTGAGTTTTGGTTGATTCTTTGTCCATTGAATTAATTATGTAGTGTCTGTATTCTGAAAATTGGTTCCGAAACGATATCGCGCAGCGCGTATTTTGCTATTGTAAAGTGGACCTTAGTGTCTTGGTAATAAGGTTGAAATAGTAATAAAAATTATTTCGCGTTATTGGGATTCAGAATAGGGACGCGTAACAAGTTATTAAGTTAGCACGAAAATTGAATCGAGATCGTTTTACACGACTTTTGTCCAAAAAAATTTAATTAATTTGTAAGTTTATAATAATTACGTACATAAATAAAACTTATTAATTACTCCAATTAACTAAACTGATATCAAATTATGAAATGCCTAATAAAATTATTATAATTAAAGTACCTACTTCAAAATTTTCTATTTATTTATTAATTAATAATTATGTTATTAATTATATAATTAATTTGAACTGGCCTCAGACCTCAGTTATTTGATGAGATTTAATATTTAGCAATAATTTCTTGAATAATAGGTATACTGTTTTAAAGTTGATATGGAATCAAATAGGTCCCGCTGTAGCGAAGATTGGCTGAAAAGGAAACATAAGAAATATAAGAAGCAGTATGCGACATCTATTTTATTTTCACACAGCTTTACACATTAAGATACAGATCAATAACTATAAGAGGTACTGGCAAGCTTATTTCTTAAAAGAGATTTCTGCAAGCCGACCATCGTCAATATACTCCACATTGAGACAGACAGCAAAACTTTTCAAAAATATTTATAAAATTAGAAAATTACACCCTGGTTAGAAAGGTCAATAAATAAATTAAAGACATAATCAGAATGCACTTATTAACAATTAGGTACTGCTTCAGATGCAAAGATCATAATTGCTGTAATTTTTCTATTCTTAATTAATTTAATCAATTAATATTATTGTATTACATTTGCACACCGGTACAATCCCTGGTAGAACATGATTGGAAGTATTGGAACTGCCTCAGATACAAATAAAATTGTTTGATTTTATTTTCTTTGATGAGAATGGAACTTAAAACTTCTCAACTGATGCAACAAACACTTGAAACCACAAGGTAAATAATTAGAAGATTCAACAGTGTTCATTGTGGCAGTCGTTTTGCTCATCATCATCATCATTACAGCCACAGGACGTCCATTGCTGAACATAGTTTACAGAAGCCTCCGCCAATGATGTCCATATTGACCGGTTCAGCGCCTTCCTGCTACCTTTATAAGGTCCTGGGGGTGATTTTATTTAAATAAGAAGTGTTATTAAAGAAACACACATAGAATAAACTTTATTTTATTTATCTTGCAGGTAAAAAAATTATAATCATGTCTAAAGACAAATGCTGCGTGGGAGGATGCAGTAACGTCCCACCATATTTTAAGTGAGTATCACTGGTATCACAAATTTTTTTTTGAAAGGTCAAATCACAGAAACCGACAGACTCTGGTTTTAAATAAATGAAATTTTAATGTACTAATTATTTCTTTTAAAATAATTTCCACGACGCATCCAGGTTCTTTCCCAGATCATCGGTGCTCCGGGTGGGAGATCTGTCCAAACTAATTTCGTTAAATTATAAATAACTTGAAAAAATCGAACTGCCTAAGGCGGAAATCGATCCCACGACCTTCCGCTTGCCGGGCGACTGCTCTTCCAACTGAGCTACTTAGGCCCAGAACACACGGTGAAACGCAATTGCAACGAAACTGCAACTTCTAGTTACTTTTGAGTTGCATCTAAGTTTCTGCCATAGATTCCGTTGAGGCCACACATGACGCGACCAGTTTGAAACCGGTTGAAATGGACACTGGATGAACAACCGTCGAAATTTTCAAGTGTAAGACGCTGTTGCGGCCGCGTTTTGTTTCATCAATGTTTGGTTTGGTAGTACTATCCTTCCTTTAATCATCCAACAGAAAATATTGTAACAAATATTTGATAACTAGCGACACGCCCCGGCTTCGCACGGGTGCTAAGTAAACATATAAACCTTCCTCTTGAATCACTCTATTTATTAAAAAAAACCGTATCAAAATCCGTTGCGTAGTTTTAAAGATCTAAGCATACATAGATATAGACAGCAGAAAGCGATTTTGTTTTATAAATACTATGTAATGATGCGACTTCGTACGCGTGGATCCCGTTTTACCCTCTTAGGGGTGGAGTTTCGTAAAATTCGTTCTTAGTGAGCACCTACGTTCTAAAAGAAACCCCCATGCAAAATTTGAGACTCCTAGCACTTGTAGTTTCTGAGATATCGTGATGAGTGAGTCAGTCAATCAGTGACCTTTCGCTTTTATAAATACAGGGTGTTTGGCGGAAGGTTAGACAAACTTCGTGGGTGTATCGGTAAAATAATTTTAAGTACCTATACCAATTCGCCCATTTGACCCTAAGTGAGCTACTTTTTTTAATGGATATTGTTGTTTTTATTTATTTTTTTCCAAAATTTTACCTATTGAACTTGTATTCTTAAAATGACCTTACCTATAGGTACACCTACGAAGTTTGTCTTACCTTCCGCCAAACACCCTGTATAGATAATATAGTAATTTTGTTATATACCTCTCTCTCTAGGTTCCCTACCAGTCGGGTGATATTCCGCAAATGGCTGTCAGCATTAGGCACGCGGTGCAAGATCAAACTGGCGGACCATCACGCGGTGATCTCGGTACGTATCATCATCATCATCATTTCAGCCAATGACAGTCATTGTTGGCGCCATAGAGCATGATCTCCCGCTTTTGTATCTTGTTTGTGTTATATTGAAAATAATNACAACGGATATAAACATACTTAAATACTTTTTTTTGTAAATACATACTTATTATACATAGAAAACACCCAGTCCAATACAAACAAATATGTTCATGCACACAAATGTTTGTACTGTGCGGGAATCGAACCCGCTACCTCCGGAATAGTAGTCCGTTTCGAACCACTACACCAAACGACCGACATAGTATACCATAGTAAAGTCGTGTCAGCGCCATCTGTTAGGTGGTCACTAGTGGTGTTGTAGCGCGTCGTAGATGTCGCCAAAAGTTATTTGAAACCTTTCTTCTCAGGTACTTCTGCAAAGACATGCAGATCTCGTTGGACAAGAAGTTCAACGTGGAGTACCTCGAGAAGGAGTTTGGACTACACAAGTTCCTGCCTAAGTCCGTGCTCGACGCCATCAAGCCCAAAGTGCTGAAGAAAGCGATCCAGCAGCAGTTCAAAAAGGTAAATATTTTTATCTTCTACATGAGAAACGTTTCGATGAGCGCAGAGCCGGTCGTTGTGGACAACCTTGGAAGAGGCCTTTGTCCTGCAGTGGACGTCATTTGGCTGAAACTACTTTTTCTATTTAGTTAATATACCTCCTATTCCACTATAATACCAAGTAGGGCAAGCTATTTGGGACAAGTATAAGCGCCCTGGAAAGGGCCTAAGTACCTACTGAATAAAAGTTTTGGTGTCAGGCAATCAAATATAAAAATAAGCAATTCACGAAATATTCGTAAACATAGTCAAAGTCATTTACTTGTTCCATAAACAATAACAATATAATCGTATTGGAAATTACAAAAAAAATGAAAAATTAATAAACATCAACCAATATAAAATCACAAAGTAAACAACACAGCATAAAACTTTAAGGAAGCATTTAACAAAATTATATACTTATTACTTTTTATCATTTAAATAATCCGTAATTTAATTAATGCACTTTGTAATTCCCAGGTGGCAAACATGAGCGACAACGAATGCATGCTCAAGTATTTGGAGACGATGCACACGCATTACGGCTACGACCGGGAGACTTTCACGGGCGCCCTAGGGACTGGCTGGGCGATACCTGTCGAACTGGCCATCGGGCCTGATATCGGTAAGGAACAGAATCGTCTAGCAGGTGAAGACTGTTCAACTTTCACTGGTAACAGGAGACTTTCACGTGCTGGGCGATACCTGTTCAACTGGCTATAGGCCTGACTGATGTCGGTAAGGAACAGAATCGTCTAGCAAGTGAAGACGCACTACGGCTACGAACAGGACTCACTGGCGCCCTGGGGACTGCCTGGGCGATACCTGTCGAGCTGGCCGTCGGGCCTGATATCAGTAAGGAACAGAATGGTCTAGCTAGCAGGTGAAGACTGTTCACCTTTCACTGGTAACATGAAGTAATAAGTGACGATGCTCATGAAGTATGGTTACGACCGGGAGACTTCCACAAGAGCACTGAGGACTGGCTGGGCGATACCAGTCGAGTTGGCCATCGGGTCTAACTTTCATTACTAATATAAAGCATAGGGGCATTGAACTGGGACTGAGCTGAAGCTACAATAATTGAGAAACCGTCGGCCAGGGGACTGATAGATAATGGCGCCAAACTGGTAATAAATACAAAACCTGGAATACGAAATCTAGCAAATATGAAAGAGTTCTCCTACGCCTCAGTGCATACCAGATAGCGCCACTGTCCTAGCCACTACTAAAGCCTGGTCCGTGAGCACGTAGAATCCCGTCCAATGACCCCAAGCTGCCCATCCTTGTCGCTCGAACGTAATTATGTTGCTGTCGCGCTCGCACACTCACTGCGGGCGCGCGTCGCACAGTCGCGACAGCAATATAATTACGCGCGAGCGATAAGGATGGGTAGCTTGGGGTCATTGGACGGGATTCTACGTGCTCACGGACCAGGCTTTAGTGAGTAACAGGATCTTACTAGCCCAGTGTTAGTCGCAGTTTCTAATTTTACATTATTGTTTGAAAGTGACGTATGATTTCAGACATATCGTACGTGTCGCACAAAGCGGGCGAGCCTCCAACGTATACCAAGATAGCATCGTTCAGCGATATAGTCGCAGTGCAGACACTCAAGTCGGCTTGCACGCAGCAGTCGCAGCAAACACAGACGCAGGTATACATAATAAAACAAGTGTATATTAGGTCCTATTATTATACTTATCCACCGTCGTCCAACCACAAGGTGGACCGACGACCTTATGACAGGTAAAGCAAGAAGGCGCTGGATGTAGGCCGCTACCAACCGCGCGATATGGAAATCATTGGGGGAGGCCTATGTTCAGCAGTGGACGTCCTGTGGCTGAAATGATAATGATGATGATTATACCTCTTACATAGGCGCATAAGTAATTGACTCGTGATAACAACGTTCCTTTTAACAAATAAATATTTGACTGCCTGAAGTTGGCTTGGCGATGTGGATTTATGTGTGTATGCATAATTTTTCTAAGTAGGATTTTTTTATTTATTTTATAATCCAAGTTAGAAAAAAAAGTCGATTGCGTGATTTAATTAAGAACAATTAAATGACTTTTTCAGAGCGGGTCTTCTTGTGGCAAGGCAGCGTTACAGTTAAGGGTGAAAGGGGCGACGGAGACTTTGACAATAACGTGCAGCAGTGTTGAGGTAACTATTTGATATTTATAATGATAATTAATTAAATATCTAATAACCTAATTACTTACTGAAAACATACTGACTGGAAAAACGCGGCAAAACAACTGACAGCCGCGAGCTGTCACTTGTAACAAATTATGTCTTTTGTTTTTTCTTTGTGGCTAAGCAGAGGTTTTATTTGAACATTATTCTAATTTCGAGTCACTGTTTATTACTTTTTTTTCTTGCACATTGCGTCATGATTTTTCGATTAACACAGTTGGATATGCCAAGTCGCAGATAAAATGACCTATCGATATTAGTCTTAAAACTAAGAGGATTAAAGTTTATTTTCCGTATTTTTCAGGCTGCAGAAAGCTTGGCGGATTTAGTAGACGGATACTGTAGACTAGTCACAGACTCGCAGACGTCATTATGGAACAGAACTAGTAAGTATATAAATAAAGTATTTATTATATTATATGTGATGTGTTGTATATTATGTCCATTACTTCAAACATGCTCATTTTTAATTTCAAGCTACTGTATGGAAATCGTTCAACTGTCAATGCAAAAGTAAGTTATGAATTCGGAATATTCGTAGGTAGTAAATGCCAGAATCCAAATATTTTTATGAAAAAGATCATTTTGTCTGATCTATGCCTTTTTCTATGTAGATAATNAAAAACATTTGTATGAAAAAATCTAAACCGCGTAAGATAAACGCTTGAAATTTGGCATGCAGGTACCTTAGTAAACTTAAAGCTTAGTTACAACAGGATATTGCAAAATTCCCACGGGAACGGAAGTTAGCGGGAAAAAAAAATTGTATGAAAAAATCTGAACCGCGTAAGATAGATGAAGGGGGGGTAAAACGAGATCCACGCGTACGAAGTCGCGGGCGGCCGCTAGTAATTTAATAAAACGTTACCTGAACTAAACGGAAAACGTGAAAGTTACAAATGAGAGCTGTCAGTTGATCCTCACGGGTGTCAAGCATGGCTAGAGACAGGTCTTGTACCAGGCGAGCATAGGGCGTGGAGCGGTAGTCGGCTCTACGTAAGGCTTTCTCTCTAACCCGGTACGAAAATGGGGCAATTCTACAATGAATACGCAAAATATAGCAGTCAGAAACTTTTTGAACAACATCTACCAGAGACATTTGCATTTATTTTGAACTGACGTAACAAGAAAAATATGCTTCAAAATAAATACTTACCACTTTACACTCACCACTTTACCACTTTACAATAATTATCTCATTCAAAATGTATGGCATTTCTAGTCCGATAAAATCTACTACATTGTTTTTATAACAACGCAGGTATTTGACCGCTTTCGCACAATTATCATTGTGCATGCGAGTATACATAGAGGTAATATGACTCGTATTTACATTAGTACGAGTGTTAGTGATAAGCTAAAATTATAAAACATAAGTAAGCAATTACAAAGTACCTCTAACTAGTTTTGATGAGTAAAACAAGTATTGATTTGAATTCAATTCTCTTTCGATTCGATTTCGTTCGTAAACCAACATAATTTACTCTTTAACTTGGGTGCCAAGTTATACTTCGTACAGGGGGTGGGTGTCTGGTGGCTCGTAGTCCGTAGCTCGTAGCAACGTAGCCGTAGCACGTAGCCACCCCTCAGCGTTCCTGCCGCCCTGGTAGCTTTTCACGTTCTGAAAGGGTTACTGCTGAAACTGAAAAGGGGTGAGTGGCGCTGTATGGAGTAAATGTGGGCTGAATTTTAACTGCGTTGTTAAATAAAAATGTTTTTAACTGTACTTTTAAATTACTACTACGTAAATTTTTCTTTTCACATTAGTTAGTGTATGTAAAACATACTATTTCACTATGAAATTGATTTAAAACAACAACGAATTAAATACACGTTCATTATGTTTGCAATCGCCGTTTACACAAAACATTGTCAAATTCTTTCAAAAAAAGACCGACTCGATTAAACATAGTTGAATAACTTACCCACTTTAAATCTTTTTTTTACGCCATTTACATACCTAGGCTAAAGCAAAGCTCCCTGAAAAGCTCTGTAGCTACAGCCCGTAACCCGTAGCAACAGGCGAGGCTACGCCGTAGTAGATTCCGTAGCCGCCTCTGTAGTCATGTGCTCCGAGTACTTTTTCGCGTAGCGAAAGGGTTATCTGCTGAAACCAAGTAAGGGTTGAGTGAAAAGCAGAGTGAATTTTCAGTATTATTAATTTCAATGTTCAGTATATTTCAGCAGAAAAGTGTCCCAAATTCGTGAAGTTTTATAAAATTCATTTTACATTTAAACATTTATTTGAAGTACTGTAATTTGTTTTCTTTAATGCATATACCTCAAAATAAAAAAAAAATTAAAAGGTCCACTGCCCACTAACAATGGAATGGTAGTTAAATGAATATCTGCTGCCAAGCGTGCGGTTCTAGAATCTTTTCACGTACCAAAAGGGTGAATTGAAATAGTACGACCAAAACGTGAAAACTTTCAGCATTCAACTGACTATAAATGGGATGGATCATCGACAATAGTCAATTTTTTAATAGCGTAGATCGATTTACCACCGTAATTTATCGCATTAAATTGGTCAAAAATATAGTAATAATCATTAAAAAATGTAGATTTAGATCACACTATAGTCTGACTAAACTAGTACTTTGCAACTCGTTTCAAAAAAATGTATTTTAACTTTTTGTTTCAAAATAATACCACACCTAAAGATATCTTTCTCTCTAATGTCTAATACTAACCAGAAAAATGAAAATGTGTTTATTTCAATTCATTCAAAATGTTAAATAATCTAATTTATTACAATATGTCATATCTGTTCATTTATTTCTTTATTATTAATTTATTTATTGATAAAGATACACCAACAGCAATATACATTTAAGACACTCACATATTGGGGTTACAGTTTAAATATTATGATCATAAAAATAAATAAAATAATTCATATGAAAATGGTAACCGGCTGTATTTTTTCATGGCGCGCCTCAGTATACCAGGAGGTCATAAAACTGAAAGACTCCTTCAGTGGCGCATCGAATACGTTTTCACTTCCCCCACCTTAATCGAAGTGGTTTCAGGGAAATTGCAGGACATTTCCACGAAAAATGATGGCAGACAACAAAGAAAATAAAAAATTGAGTTGTTTTATTTTCTTTTAAGGTACATTTTCACAAAAACATGGAATTTTCTGCATATTTCGAGTCGAAGGTACCAGGCAGGCAAAGAAGCGAGGATACTCGTATCAAAAGATCGTCCTTTCACCATGGTAACGCCGACAACGCCAAGTTTTTCGTCATGGCAACGTCACACTTTCGAACTGGCGTACCAGGATCACATAAACCATCAGCAGTTAAACGTGTCACGAATACCGCGTTTCGCGCTTTGCACGTTTGGAGTTTACCCAGTTTCACTGAAGACGTTCCCTGAAAAATAGAGCTGGGAAAAACGGGAAAAGAAGATTTGGATTTTCTTAGACGAGGGTTTGTAAAAATCCAAGCCTTGAATACTAGGAGCGTATAACGTTGGAGAAGGTCGGAAAAACGTCGAACAAACGCGAACAAAAAAGCTAATGCGCATGTTTTGGGTGTGTGAAAAATAAAAAAGTGAAGTGGGCGGAGCTTAGAACACACACATGGAAAGGGTAGGAAAAACGTTTTCCCAGCGTGGTCGTGGTGGAGCTTTTTAAGTTTTTTGGAATACTTTAAAAAAGCTTTTCCGATTTGTCTGTTTGAATTTTCTTTACCAGGAGCGCATGATCGGCCGTAGGTGGAAAATGTTAGGAATGCGCTCAAGAATTTGTGGCGCTCTGAAAAGCCGCTTCGTAGGGGAGATTTTCCCGCATTCGAGTATTTTTCCTACCAGGCGCACATGAACTGGAGAGGGTGCGAAGCAATCGCAAGAATGTGAAGAATTTAGGGTTGGGGTTGGATTCTTGCTGTGTTGAACTTGAGTAACGATAAGTTAATAAAGTGTTTTGGTGCAAACTGTTGAAAATGTACAGAATAACACAAATGAATTATAATAACGTTATTTGAAATCAAAAACTTATGTTTTTAGAGAACTTAAAATAGTTAGTTCATAACCCATTGTTTTTTTTTAATTAACGTTAAATAATTACTACTTCTAAAATTGTAATTGTAATTTACTTTCGGTATTAAAAAGCTCTCTATAATAATCCACTTATTAAGTACGAGTATTTCTATTACTTTGTTTTTCTGTTATTTTCTAACAAATAGGTTATTCTGAGCACAAAGCGAAACCGGTTCGTTAATCCGGGCCAAGCCCGGATAACCCGGGTTTAGCGGGTTAAGAATGCTTAAATCCGTTATCAAGTACCAGGAGTTCATAGGCCGAAAGGGGTGTTTAATCCGCCTCGCTATTTTTGCCGGTTAGGGCAACCCTTCAACTGCTTCAACTTTCCTACTAAAATTCCAATTAAATGAAGAAAACACTGGAAAATCATATAAAGGCGATAATATTAATGTAATTTAAAATACTTAACCGTTTTTCTTTAAAATATTAAAGAGGAAATAAACAAAATATTGGAGATCTTTTCCCGCGCATTTTCTCCATCCAAAATATCCTTACATTACAAAACCAACCTTAATCAATTTACCGTAGATACGAATTTTCTTCATCAGCAATACCCTGTACTACGAATCGATATTCGTAGCCAAGTGGGCGGGGCCAAGGGGTAAGGAAAGCTTCACCCCTCTCTTTCAGATTAACCCTCTCTTTCTACCCTTGGGAAAAGCTTTCGGAGTACCAGGAGCCAAGACTGGCAGCGGATAGTTAGGAGGTGTGCTTAGGAAAACCCGTAGATGTAAAATGTATATCACAGTATCGCCAGCTCTCTACATTTATTACACACAGTATCGTTTTGCGTAGTTATAAACGGTTTTGATTGTTATATAAATAGGTGTATGTATACTAATGTATAGATCTATTAAAATCAAACTAAGTAAGTGGTAATGATTCCCTGAAATAGTCTCCAGGGTATTCCTATAGGCAGGTGTCAATAAAACGCTATCGAGTAAAACGAGTTGTGAATTATTGTGATGCCATCTTTACAAATTATGATTCCCAGGTTCACAGAGAGTTTTGTGGATATCCGCGAGAGAGAGCGCAAGGTGAAGAGAGGCAGCCGCGAGCAGGGCCGTCAGCTTATGAACAGGCACAACAACGAGGCTGGTAGACGGGTGAGTTCGAAATACGAAAAATCCACCTCCATGGTCTACCTACTAAAGAAAAAGGCTGCAAGGACTGTAGACCAGGGCAGGGCCGTAAAACGCTTCGAAAAAACCATGGAGGTTTTTGTTGAGCAGGCTCCGCTCCAGCACGTCAGTGCTATAAATTACACTGCTTTTCTATTACGGTCTTCCGAGTGTAATGTAATGTAGGTACGTGATTGTAAATAGATAACTTACAAGACAATATTTTTCGAACAATATGAAACCTGGTTAATTTTATAAAAACACTGCTATGCTAGCACATGCTATTTCACATCTTCCTGTTCTTTGATTCATTTTAAAATCTTTGGCTATTAAATTTCAACCGTCGAAAGGCGTGGTAACTTCTTTGAAGGCACACAACGCTTGCCAAAAATGATATCAAGTAAAACTGACTAAGAACTTACGTGTAAGCCTCTGCCAACGTTTACCTTTAATCACACCAAAACTACTGACATACAAAGTCTCAATTTAATATGCATCGTGTAATAATAATATACCAGCGTAAGCTCTTAAAGACAAATCCCCGTCTTACGCAGTTCAATTCATTGCTGAACACTCCTGAGCCAACAATTTAAAGATTAAGCCCTCTTCAGCCGACTTACGAGATATTAGTTCTACGGCGCTACAGCCTGTGTCTAGCAGCCATGTCATTTCATACATACCTAAGTTTCATACATAATATTTTTCTGTGAAAAAAAAACTACTGATGACATTAAATTTTACTACACAGCAGATTAAAAAATCAACCATGTAGAGGAAAGCAACGTGTAAACCTCTGAAAGTAACTAAGAATCTGTAACATTTTAAACTAATCGTCAAGTATTTCGAAGTTTTAGCTTTTGAAGTTTATCTACAGGTTTATTATTTGTCACATACCTACCTATCAGACCAAAACGTTACAGATTTTTCCCTCCAAAACACGGAATCTTCTTCCTCTCAATGTGATCGCGCGAAGTGTTGATGGCTGGCTGTTCTCTTGTAGCTATGTCGCTGCGGCGTAGCCTGTTAATACAGCTATATTTAGACATATTTAATCCCAAGTTTAATTTACTTGATCCAAAGCCTTAGCAGATGAACAGATATCACTAGTAAGATATTTTAAAATATTTTTTGTTTTATGTGAAGAAGAATTGATTGGCGTTCGTTTCTTTCGCTTCGATAGGTCAGTGCTTTGCTTTATTAGATATAAGCTGTTACATTTTTCGGTCATCAGCAAACGAAATAATTATGTGTTGCAAAACAACAATGTTTCGCTACTTTCCCTCCAGGTGGCATTACAAAATTCCACCCTGTATTGTTCTTCTATCCCACAGGCTGTTATCAAGAAGTCCACTCCCAGGTGACTTCCAAGTGCCCGTGTCTCAGTGAATTTAAGCTTTATTCGAACATATGCGAAACGTCTTAAAGTTCAAAGCCAAATGCATGGTTACCGTGGATATTAATTAGTACTTACCTACTTCTATCCACAGGCTGTGATCAAGAAGTCTCGAGTGACGTGCAAATGCCACGGCGTGTCGGGGTCGTGCAGTCTCGTCACGTGCTGGGAACAGCTGCCCACTTTCAGGGAAGTTGGTGAGTCCTCAATATCTACTTATACCGTTCGTTCGTTTAAAACTCAAAAATGTGTTCCATTTCATACTGGAATACTGAAAAAACGCTAAAAACCATGTTGAAAAACTGCTAAAAACCATTCTAAAAACCACCAGAAATAATTAAAACATACCACCAAGAGCGTTGAAAAAGCGCCATTTCTGGTGGTAAAACCACCAAGGTGGCCACTGCGTTTAATAGTCAAAATATGACGTCCACTGTTGGACAAAAGCTCTCACGGATTTCCACAACAAACCGGTCCTGTGACCTCATCTAGATGCTCCTCGTGACCTTTACCAGATCCTTAGAACGGCTGTCTAACAGCTGAAAATCAATAAGGCACCGGGTGATGGTGGAATCACACAGGTGAGCTTCTGAAAGCAAGCGGAACGCCTAGCGATGCAGACGGTTATGGAGATATGAAAGGAAGAAAATGATTTAATTTGGTGAACCATGGTACGCTATTCGTGCGATGCAGTGTTCGTTCATTCGTTTCAGCTGAATAACGACCATTGCTGGACAAAGGCCTCCCTCAAGGATTTACACAAGATCAGTCCTGCTAGCTATACCCACATCCAAGCACTTTTCCCCGACCTTCACCAGTGCTAGTAAATGCAGTGTTATGAACTCCGAAATGAGACCAGCTATGGCATACCATAATTATATTATTTTAACCATACCTACCTTGCTTGATACTTTTTAAACTAATTTAGCTTAACTTTTATGACTTACCAAAGTTACGGCACAACTACGCAGCTACGGTCCGATTAGTTCAAGCACGAATGAGCTCCAAATTCCTCTTTTTATTACTCTTTTTAATCATTTGACCTTTTAATATTTGGAAACATCATTGGGTGGTCCCATAACCATAATTTCACTGTAAGTAAAACATTTTTTCTGAAAAGAAAAAATAAACATTTTTTTTTTAAATAAAAATAGCGGGAAGTGACCATCATTTAAATAATGGCCGGCTAGTCTATGGTCCATTGTGTTCGGATACAGTGGCGAAAGTTAATGAGTGGCTATTAGACCGCTGTCAGTTCACGCTGGCACACATTTAGCATACAAAGGGACTTTGATCAATAAAAAGATTGATTAACTTTTATTAAGGCATAGCTTTGTCATTTGAGAACGTACAAGGCCGGATATTGCCAAGGACGCCGGCACCAGTGGCGAATTCATCATTTTCAATTTGCAAAAAGTGTAAATTAAATTGTTAGATCTTTTTGTACAACTAAAAGAATCGCGATCGCGATGTGAGTTAGGTACATTCATCTTTGCTTTTACTCATTTTCTTCTAAGGTTAATGTATAGGTCCTCTATTGTTGAGCATGTAGGTAAATGGGTGCGTAAACTCATAAAACTTTAACTTTTTTAGCCAAAGAAAAGGATAACTACGAAAAAATCTTTGATGAAGGTTTATTACGACAGACGCTTCGCCTTAACTACGGGCTAGTTTTAATTGCCCAAACTGATGTTTAATGACTATGATTAGTTATTAAATGGCGTTGTCATATCAATGGGTGGGTCCATTGTCCGTAGCTCCGTGTGAAAGGGATATAAATGGCCCCATTTGGACCCGTTATAAAAAGTGGTTGCCGACTAATGGAAGAGTTAAAAGACTCGCTTGGATATTGTTTTTTGGTACTTTAGTTGGCGTTGATGCTGGATTAGAGTGGGTTAAAGTTGTTTGATAATTATTTTGCTTCTTTCTATTGTATAAAAGTTACAAAATATGCTTTAAGTCGATTTTCTCGTTGAGTACTATTTCATTGTGTTATATTTTGTAACTTCTACCCTTCTACCTCTACCTTCGCACTCACAGCTTTCTGCATAACCCAGGGGTCGACTGGCTGAGAATGCTTAAATAGCATTAATTCCACCTTTTGTATGATTTTTATTGTGCAATAAAGTTTTATAATAATAATAATATTTTATTCAAATAAAATGTTACAGTAAATATCATAGTAGACTGCCTCACCATGCCAAAAGCAAAAAAAATACAATTATTGCCTTCACAGCAATGACTCAATGTCTGAACCCAAGTGACCTAGAGTTTAATTACACAACAAGGTACCTACTATGTATGAAAGATTCTGGCTTACCAAACACTTAATATTAGTGCTATTTGTTACAAAAATATACAATGTGCATTTACAAGTCATATTACTTCAACTTTCCCACAATAGCCCTAATTATTATTTACAAAACATTACACGCCATCTCGCGGGTGGCGGTGTAAATCAACACCCACGCCCATAAAGGCACGTCTAACCGAGCGCGTTTAATTTATTTATCGTAAAAAAATGCTAATGGACCTTTATTAGTGCACTAAAGTCGTAATTAAAGGTAATAATGTTGGTGTAAATTAAATGGCTTTATTAATGCCGGTGTGGAGGCGCGCTCGGCGTGTAATTATCGTAAAATCTGATTAGGCATTTACTGAAGAATGCTATTGCTTTTGGGAGTTCCTTATGGTGAACAATGAAGTCTTTATGTAGGTTTATCTATTCGTAACATTAACATTTTTGATATCACAATATTGACCCATTCTACTAAGGAGCATCAATTAACATGATCTCTGTCATCGGTCTATTGAACAGGGAGTTAGAGGTCTTCTTATACTCTATTGTTGATGAGCCACTTGTTTATAGGTCGCCTCGTCTATATTGTTTACATTGGTATAGGTACTGCCGAATCTTCGTTCCATACTTTAGACCTTTTCGAGAGCTCACGCATCGAGCTTTCCATAGGTTGCTGTTGTAGCATTTTGTATTGTTGTAATAAATAAATAAAATATGTTCGCAGGAGACTATTTAAAAGAAAAGTACGAGGGAGCGACAGAAGTGACAGTCTCCCGGCGAGGCAAGCTGAGGCTCAGTGACCCTCGGTTCGTGCTGCCCACGGCACAAGACCTGCTCTACCTCGAAGAGTCGCCCAACTACTGCGTTAGGAATGAGTCTTTGGTAAATATAATACGATAATTATAAAAGTACGAGGGAGCGACAGAGGTGACAGTCTCCCGGCGAGGCAAGCTGCGCCTCAGCAACCCGTTTATTTTAGCTTAAATGATGTTGAATTGTCTATTTTAAAATAGCTGAATGCTTCTAGTTCTAAGTTAAAGAATAAACAATCCATAATCAGGTAACACCACACTAATAATCACTAGAATTCACCGACTACGAAACGTAGTAGGTATCTTACGAAACATACAAATAAAATAATAATTTCGTTCGCAGGGCTCCCTAGGCACAGCTGGTCGTGAATGCAACAGAACCTCAGCAGGCATGGACGGCTGTGCTCTTCTGTGCTGCGGCCGCGGGTACAACACCAAGAAGATCACCATCAAAGAGCGGTGCGGTTGCAAGTTCCATTGGTGCTGTCGAGTGGAGTGCAACACTTGCGTTAAGACTGTAGAGGTGTATACTTGTAAATAGATAGTGCATTTGTGATTACTTAATTATCTAAGGAGAGTTAATTAAATTCTACTACTTTAGAATATGGTTTACATAAATTAATGTTCCTTCTTTTCACGAAATAAGTATGTTAGTGCAATACGTGTGAGGGTTTGAAATCTCAACTTTTCGCTTGGGTTGATATAAATACACCCAGAAATGCCAATAACTAGAAGTTTCAACTAATTACATAACATTACTGCGGATACCTACTGTGTAGTGAAACTGAAAATATTATTGAAATTTTACCTTAAAATAAAATTTGTATTATGTTTCCTCAGACGTCCGAAGTCCATTATGTGAGAGAGTACATCGTATTTCCTTGCGTTGTCGCTAGATGTCGCTACTTTACCGTCACGTGACCACGCCGCTAGCGCCCCCAATAGCCAAATCTGGAACTAACTCAGAAACCAGAGAGCGAGCCACCAGTTTGTGTCATTGTTCGGCTCATAAAACAATAATGAGGATATGGTCTAGCACCAGGAAGGCATTATTTGGACTTCGGACGTCTGAGGAAACATAATACAAATTTTATTTTAAGGTAAAATTTCAATATTATGTGTTCCGTTTGACGTCCGAAGTCCATTATGTGAGATCTGTTTGTTATCTTCTGGTGGCTTGCGAAATAAAAGACAACAATGTGATATTAGTAATCGTATATGTAGGAAAATGTAATGAAAGTAAACATAACAACCAATTTGCTGGCAAAAATTAACTGACCATCATTTCAGCAACATAAAGGTAAAATAAAAGTAAAGGTAGTTAATTGCGATTGATAAATAAAAATAAATACAATTTCAATTTTCTATTATTTAGAGGGTGTAAAGAATTGAGAAAGCGACTTTTCTGAAGTCACATCATTACTTCGGCCACTTTTTTCTACATCTCTGTTATAAAACTTTCTAAAAGTGTTTTCATGCCGCCAATTAGCTTTTTCTAAAATTTCATTAATAGGATATTTTTCTAAAAAATTTAGTGATGACACCGCTGACCTACAGCTACCAGGGGAAGCCTCTATTCCTGCCTCAGAAAGAGTTCGTTTTACCCAGCCACCTATGATTACCGCGGAGGCTGGCTTAACAGGTTCTCTAGTTGTGATAAATAAATTTGTTAATGAACCCCTTCTATTTTTTGAGATATCTATCAACGACCTTATCCAAAATAGAGCATTTGTATTTCTATCTGGCGAAGCATACAAAGTCCAACTTGATTGTTGATAGGATGCCGAATCTGTCTTTGAACCAAATACGGGATGCATGGTAATGGAATCTCCATTGTCTATTAAGTGATTTGTATCACAATGTAAAAGTGTCAAATCATGTACTCTACGACCCGAANTCAATAAGTTTCCGTAACGCCGTATTCAGCGATTCGTTTTGTGTCAATAGGGCATTCGATAAAGCCGCAAAACTACGTTCCATTTGAAACCATCTAATCGGAGCGAAAGGATCTTCCAAACGTCTCAACTCCTCATTTATTTTTAATTCGCAAAAACCCGGAAACGCTACGTATTTTTTCTGCACATCCGTATAACGCACCGCATTCCACTCCGTAGAATTGAATCTCTGCATACTAACAAGCTTAGAAACTCGATCGGGATCAGCTTTAGGAATCGAGGGCTCTTTAACGGAAACGTCAAGCTCCGCGATGTCGCCCACCGGAGCGGGGGTACACAAAAAGGGGGCCTCGAGCACATCGCGTGATTCCGTTCGCGGCACAGTCGACGTCACAGAGGCCGAAACACCGGGATGCATGGCAGCCTGATTCGCGTAAAATATATTGTTAACATGACTCACCAGCTGCTGGGACAGTATCTCAAACCTCCGGTCCAAGTCCCGCGTGGAGTCGCGCGAGCTGCTGCTGGCGCGGCGCCGGCGCCGCTTGGGGCGCGGCTCGTCGTCCTCGGAGCTGGAGTCGGCCGAGGAGCTGGAGCTGGGCGCGCCGGAGCGGGGCGGGCGCCGGCCCGCACTCGAGTCGCCGTCGCCGTCCGCCGACCGCAAATGTTCCCGTCCGCCGAAAGTGTCCGTCGTAGGCATGGTCGAATGATTTTCACTCATTTCACTTCACGCAACGGTATTTTGCAAAAAAAATATTAAACTTTCTACTTTTATCTCGAAAGTTAGAAAAATTATGAAAATAAAAAAATTTTGTAGGTAGAAATGAACGTTATGATTGAAAAATCTAACGACAACCGTTCGGTTCGAAAAACGACGCAACAATGACACAAACTGGTGGCTCGCTCTCTGGTTTCTGAGTTAGTTCCAGATTTGGCTATTGGGGGCGCTAGCGGCGTGGTCACGTGACGGTAAAGTAGCGACATCTAGCGACAACGCAAGGAAATACGATGTACTCTCTCACATAATGGACTTCGGACGTCAAACGGAACACATAATATGATAATGCAATAGATGCTTAATGGAGTTCTTGCCAAATTATTGTGTATTTAGTTGTTATACTATGAAAATAATATAAATTAAGAGATGTATTTTTCTGAATGTGCTCATTTAATAAGGTTAATTATTAAGGTAGAAACATAGCTATAAGCTTTTATAAAATACTCAATTTAATCACCTTAATAGATTTATCGCTTTAAAAAGGTAATTTTATTTAAATGTTCTTTATTTGAATAATAAAATTGACTTTAGTAGTTGACTCAGATTAATTCCTGGAATTCCCGATTGGGACAATTAAAAAAGAAACTTTTTTAAACCTGCTTACAAAAAAAAAAAAGAATTTAAATTTCCATTTTTTTCCGGATGAAACCCTACTTACTCATCTACCTACATTTTATTATAAAAGAGGCTTTTAAACTAACCTTACATTAATGTAGCAAATAAACTATAATTATGGTATTGTTTTAAAATTAAGCATTAGCACTAAAAGGATCCGATAATTTATTAACGTCTTAAGCTGGGTCTCCAGCGTTTGTTTTGCCCTACACAATCAACTAAACATGTCAACATTCAACAAAGTTGCCTACAAAAAACGTCGATCAAAATTGCCACGAAACCTGGTATAGTTCCAAAATACTGAACTGTCCTATCGATGACATTGACAGTGGGGCGCCACCGTCAATACCGAATCGCTGGTTCCGATTTTTGCCATGTTGGAAACCATAAAATTGAACGATGGTAGCGCCCCCCTGTCATTGAGTTTGGCGGGACAGTTCAGCGTGGGTCATCTATAATAAGAAAATTGCTAATAAAAAAAAAGTTGAATGTTGACATGTTTTTGTTGATGGTGTAGGGCAAAACATGCGCTCGCGAGACCCGGCTTTAACACTCAAAATGCGACACTGGGTTTTGCACTTATTTTTTACAAATCGTTAAAATACTGAGACGTTCTACCTAATAATCATTTTTATTCGACAAAATGAAAAGAAAACTCGTTAAAATCTATTTTTAACCAGTAAACTACAACTGTTTGATATAAAACAATGCCAAATAAAGGGTTTAAATAATGAATGTGCGTTTTATTATTTGCCAATCTGATGACCGAAATAAAATTTAAAATTACAAGTAAGTATATATAGCCTGACCAGGAACATAAAAACCCTGGCATAGAGGCGCATCAATTGCATTTGATAGTGCAACACTGAGTACAGTCGTACCTGTGTTAAATTAATAGGCTAACTTTATGTATCAGGATTCAGGATTACGGGCTAATTTAATATTTTCATAAATCAACGAAAACATATTATTATAGGTAACCTGGTTTAAATAAATTAAATGAAACCATCAATCGAGCTAGTAGGATTTATTTTATTATTCATCAATAATCAAATTCAGAACTTGAATATTCAACTGCAATGTCTGCTCATGAACGCTTCGAGTTTGTAGCGTACTTCTTTCCCAATTCCATAAAATTCAACACTTAGAAAGTGACAAAAAACTTTAAAATAGGTAGTTGAAACAAACCACAGCAAATTTTCATAGTGGACTGTACTAAACGATAAACATGTCAGTCAATTTGACAACCTTTGTTGGAAACATTATTCAATGAAAATATTGTCCGAACCCTTGGTATTTCTCTTCGACAAATACTTTAACACATTGTGAACCACTTTTCTTTCACGACTATAAAAAGATTTTAGCAATTTCATTCACAAAATCAATTGCGCACATTTAAAATAAAGTTTGTTTACACTTTGACAGCAATAGACTGACATGCAAGGTGACATGTCAATGAAGTTTTTAGTTATTGTTGCCATTAAAAGAAATTAGTACCATTAGATTTCCGCAACATGGCGAGGGTTTTTATGTTCCTGGTCAGTCTATCGTATTATCTTTGTAAAACCAAAAATCGCATGTCTCTATCCCTATCACAACATTTGCTATGATCGTTTGAACAAAGGCCTGCCACAACATTATTCTCCGCTGCAGGTAGAGAAAATTTTAATTTTAACTAAAATGCTTATTTTACTTCGAAATCTTTTGTTTTTATTTGAAATTTAACTTGTCTTTATCTAAATTACAAATCTAGAGCCATTTTCAGTTTCGTTGTTAACGAAGCGTTGAATAGCGCGCCCGGAGAGGCTTAGTTCAAACGATCATTGCAAATGTTGTGATAGGGATAGAGACATGCGATTTTTGGTTTTACGAAGGTAATACGATAGAGAATAATACAAAGTCATAAAAACCACCGGTTATAGGGGCATTTTTTGGAGAAATTTATCAAATAACCAAAAAAACACGAATTTAGAAGCAGATTTTTTTCAAAAAGTTTCATTTTTTATTATTTGTTGGCCTTTTTTGTGTATTTTATGTATTTTTTTAGTATCACCTATTATTTAGCATTATTACTGTTTTTATTTTATCAGGATATACCGCTTACTTTAAAAGTTATTACGTTTTCTTTACAATAAGTAATTGGAAGAAAAAAAAATCTATAAAAAATTAAAAAAAAATCTCAAAAAATTTCTGACCTCTTTTTTGTCGATAAAAATAGGTCTAGTTTAATCTATTTTCATATGTACACTTTAACGTGACTCACACTGTATTATACGCAGTTTTAGAAGTTATTTAATATTTAAATAAATAAATATTTTTTCCATTGAAGTGTGGTCATTGCATCGGTTATTGTCAACTTTTTAGTTAATTTATGACTATGATACATACGTATCCGAACACAAGTGTCTAGTCTATGGTCTCAAACCGGAAGCTCACCCACCCGCCATGTCAGTTTTGACAACTAAAATCATTGAAAAAAAATATTTACGTTTCTTTTCTTTCTTTGATCCTTCTTCTTGTGGGTTAAAGTTAATTTACAAGAGTTTTGGTTTGGCTTTTGAAAAGTAAGTTAAATTGTGTTTGTTTACGTCCCAAGCTGAATCCTGAAATGAACCATGGGCAAGCCTTCGACTTCTCGTCTTGTTAGTTTAATAAACCATAATTTGTAGGATTTGTTTGTACTTTTTAGTTACGTAGTTATTGTAGAGAAGCAGGTAAACAATCCTAAGTATAAATAATAGTGTTTACGGCGTAATTAAACTGATTTGCATGGCTTTCAACAGTAGCGTTGTGATTGTTCATTTACAAAATGTAAACACTCCACATGGTAAAACAAAAACTATTTTTAGAATAGAACGACCTACCCTTACTGTTTGAATTTCTTATAATTATGTATGTCAAGGCTTCCCTAAAACTTAACATTATTGGGAATTTGTCTGTTTTCACTATTCTTTTGGTTTAGTTGTAAATGAGAGTAAACTCATGACATAACTGAAACAACAATCTATTTGTAATTATGACTAATATTTTAGCCGATTTTATTGTGTACTACCCACAAGCATGATTGTATTTAGCAATTAGTGTAGATAGATTTTGTATCAATAATCTGGATAGGCATCTATTTTACACATACATCACATGATGTCCCTACTATTCCAGAAAACCAAATCAGAAGAATCAATGGCTAAGGACAATCCATTGAATGCATTGAAAAGAAAACGCGGTGCCCGGAAAAGGGTCAGAAAATCCAGGGCACAAATTAACAAACTTTTTCAGATGCTACAGAAACAAAATAATATTTCTTCAGACCCAATAGAAGATCTTTCTGAAGTATGGAACTCTACAAACAACACTGTCATCGTCCTCGATGACACCATCAAAGAAAGTCCCAGAAAGCGTAAACTATCAGAAAGTTCCGTAATAATCACAGACGTGAAAGGTCTGCAAACAAATACTGAACCATGTAATTCTGTTGAGAAAAATAACATCGAGCCAAAATCTGTAGAAACTGCGATTGACTCCGTTATTATTACAGACAATGATGTACCAAATATGAATTCTGTGAGTTACCAAAGTAAAAAGAAGAAAATTGAAGCAACTGATACAAATCCTATAGTAATTACAGATAATGAAGTGTTACATGACAACCCAGAACCATCCAGCTCAAAAACTCCCAAGAAAAAAGGCTTTGCCCCACCCATGAACTGTTCCACACCAATTTCCAAATCAAACACTAGTCTTATAAATAACAACGCTGATAGCACTCAAAATTTAAATAACAACGTAACCAAAGTGATAAATAGAGATTCGTTTTTAACAATAGATTTAACCGCAGACTCCGATTTGAGCAGATTACAATGCAATACTGTTATAGATCTCGATAATACTCAAGATTCCCAGGACTGTACTTTAGTATCGATTAGTAACGCAAGTTCTATGAGTGGAGATTCTCAGGTTACGGTCTTACATAAAAACAATTCAAGCAAAAGGATGAAAAAGTTTGTCAGTGGAATTGCAAAGCTAGATGCGTCTGAGAAAGGGAAGCTTTTGGAGTTAATCACTCAGAATATTTTTAATGGGTGCAAAGAACCTATGAGGATGAATAGGCAAAATGTAGCTAGTCCAGTGGTAGGTTACATAATTTTTATTTTTATTAATTTTTAGATTGATGTGTACTTCTGCATGTTGAAATAAAATCAGTTGTTGCAGTGGTTTAATTGTTTTTTAATCCATAAAAGTATCCAAAGTTTGCTATGTTTGGGACTAATTGGAAAAAATTAGTAGATTTGAACTGTATCTTATTTACTAAAATCGATTTTCAGACTGTAAACCAAGAAACAGAGACTGCCGAAAACACATACATCAAAGAAGTGATCCTGGGCCAGAAAAAGTCAAGGAACAGCATCGGCAGCAACATTTACAATCCAGAGAAGGACGATCGGAACAAGACCGGTCTCCGGATGGTTGTAATAGACGGTAGCAATGTCGCTATGGAGTGAGTATGTGGGCTTTAGTTCGTTGTACATCGTCTTCAAAGACGTTGGATACTGTTGAGTAAGTTACCAATGACAATTGGAGGGCTACTCATTAGATGTTACACACAATCACTACATAGTTAATTTAGGATAATAATCATCTGATTTAAAGATGAAAAAACTAAGTGGTCTGTCACATTGTGTTATAGATCATGGCTAAATGGTGAATGTTAGTTTGTGATGCACAGAAGTCTATGTCATACTATCTACCTATGATTTGGTGATAAAATTACCTACTTACTTTTGTATTATTGAATGGTTGATGATTTAATGAATTGAGACTTACCCTGCAAGAGTCCCTGATTTTTTTATATGTTGTAGGCTAAATAATGGTTTTAGTAATGAAAAATCATAAGTTTTTTTTATGCAGCCAAAGTGCCACAATGAAATCAGTGGCACATAATAATATCTCGAATGAAACCTATTTGTTAGGAGGACGAAATCCTTACCTTTACTTCTGACAGCAATGATCCAAAGCTCCCAAAAGTCAGGTGGTCATCAAACACACTGAACTTTTCCACTATCTTTGTAATTTTTCACACAATTCTTTAAAATTTTGTTCTATACACTGTATAGTTGGGTAATCGAGAATTTAAGAAGGCAACGCGTGCAAACTCACCTAACCAACCAGACTGGTTTTCCTAAAAGTACCCTCAAGTTTGGTACCTGATAACAATCTCATCTTGAACTGATAGTCCAGTAGAATTAGATTTTAAATCGGAAATAATTCCTACAAAAGATTTTATTGCTTTAATGGCTTCATTGGTTGCCCATTAAGACTCTCCTAGGTTTTCGACTTCGACGGAGTTGTGCTTAAGTGGTGGGGGCCCCCGAAAGGGGCGCTTTTTCGGTTTTCCGATTATATCGCGTAAAGGACTTACCCTATCTAAAAGTGGTCTTCCTGACGGTTGAAGGGCATTTAATCTTGCATTAAATAAGACCAAATTCATATGTTTTGGACAAACCATTCTCGTGCAAATGTTCGGCAAAGTAGAAAATATGTGTATAATTAATGACCCTCTCCACGTCCAATAGCTCGTCACCCGTAGGCTCCCAAGCCTTGTAAAGGGTCGCCTTAACCAGCGTATCCATGTGTAAACATGCAAAAAATCATAACTTTTGTAGGATAACTCCCCTAGTCTCTATTTACTGAATCATCATGGTTCTAGTGGTTTGAGAGTTCGATTCTCTCGCCCTAAGGGTCCTGGGTTCGATTCCCAAGCAATGCACATGGTGGTGTGTCCCAATTTTAGGAGTAAATATGAAACAGATTGTTGAAAAAGACAGTGTTGTTTAATGAATTAGTTTATCTATCTATGGTATAGCTAGTGTATGCAGACTTGATTCAGAAGTTCTGGGTTCGATTCCCAGACAATCCCATTATGTAGTGATCCTAGTGTTGTTAGGACATTATTTAGTTAAATCCCGTATGCCCGTTTTCACCAACAATCCCTAATTTTTAAGGACCCATATGGTCTACCCGCGAAGTGGACCTATGACCTCATAAAGGTAGCGGGAAGGCGTTGGATGCAGGCCGCTACCAACCAGCGAATGTGAAAATCATTGGGGGAGGCCTATGTTCAGCAGTGGATGTCCTGTGGCTGAAATAATGATGATGATGAGGGGTCACTTAAAAATTAGGGATTGATGGTGAAAACGGGCATTTTTTATTATTTTATTTATAAAATTAATTACGTTGATTTTCATGGCTGGCTTCCAAATCTGAACCGTCTAGTAAAGGATTTGAGAAACACCTGGATGCGACAGCACATGAACGGTCGTTGTGAAAACCTGTGGAGGAGGCCTTTGTCCAGCAGTGGACAAACGAAATGTGACAATGTGGAAATCATTGGGGGAGGCCTATGTTCAGCAGTGGACGTCCTGTGACTGAAATGATGATGATCATGAATCAATGATCACCGCTCGACTAATGTGGTGAGCCCACTGGTGACACGTAAGCATATTTAGCTTAGGGCTAACGGAAAAAATAGGAGAATAATTAGTAATTTGTATTGCACAAATTACCAATTATTCTTTTAATATACAGTCGTGGTCAACTAATTAGGGACAGATAGAATACTAAGCAATACTAAGTGTTCATATCCTATTATTGTGAGCTTCATTCAATATTACTGGCTGTTACTTTGTAAACATATTGACTATCAAGTACTCTATTTAACAGAATACAATAACAACAAAAAAACTTACTAACTTAATAAAAAATCTTAATCAAATCACATGAATCGGTAATTATGGTACGGACGGTCTGGCCACCTAATTAGGGACGGTTAAGTTTTTCCTTCTAAATTAAAAAAATAAAAAGTAATAACTTTTATTCTGTTCATTTGTAATTTCGGCGTCAATTTGAAAAGCGATATTCTTATCCTGCGAGTTAAAAACTCATCAAATTATTAAAGGTTGGGCTGAAAAAAAAGCAACAATGCGCTAAGTTATAATCAATCTTTATCAGTGTGGATGGCCATACCGGTAAATTGCAGATCATCTGAAATGTTCCATAAACATGAATCTACGATGTAGTGGCTTATTTCAAAATCATGAAACCACAGAAAGTATGCCTAGAAGGAAGTAGCCAATAAAAACAACCCCACAAGATGGATCGCAGAATGGTCACTCTCGCAAAGAGAGACCCCTTTAAGGGTTTCGTTCTGATCAAGAGCGAGATTTTTGGACCAGAACCGACTGCTGGAGTATCTGCGAGGACCGTCGGAAGGCGACTGGTGGAGGCAAAGCTTGTAGGAAGAGTTCCTCGAAAAGTTCCACTACTGAAGATGGAACACAAAGAAGCAAGATTGGCGTTTGCAAGAAAGTATGGACATTAGGCTTTTGCTCAATGGATAAATGTGCTGTTTTCTGATGAAATCAAGATAAATCTTATTTCATCCGATGACAGACAATACGTGCGACGACCTGTAAAGTCCGAAATGATACCAAAGTAAACGAAGAAGCAGGTGAAACATACAGGCGGCAAAATAAAAATCTGGGACTGTTTTTCTGGACATAGAGTGTAACCTATAAAAAGAACTGAAGTTAAACTTGAGCAATTCCAATACAAATAAATATTGGAGAAAACGATGCTATCGTATGCTGAAGAAGTCTTACCAGTCTCATGAACATTTCAACACGATAACGACCCAAAACATACCGCGTACTCTGTTTAATAATTCCTAGCGCAACAGTCAGTGACGGTACTAGATTGGCCCGAAAACAACTCAGACTTAAGCCCTATAGAGCTTATGGTATGAAACGAAGGAAAAAGTTGCAGCTCAACGTACTGGCACTAAAAATCAGCATTTCGTGGCATTTAATGGTATTTGGAATAATATTTCTTTAGAAACCTGTAATGATTTGATTGCATCCATGCCGCGCCGATGTCAAATGGTTATAACCAACAAAACCAACCATATTGGTTATAAAAATACGTTTGATGATTTTGTTTTGTATTCTATATTTATTAATGAAAACTTTTTATGTAATAAACACTTAAATAATTTCCAATTTATTTACATTTACAGTGAAAGTGTTACGTGTCCCTAATTAGTTGTCCATCCCTAGGTCAATAAATGTGTAGGTGGCAATGATTTATTTATTTTAAAAATATTGATCGCAACTAGCTAGTTTCTTTTCTGGCCTTTAAATATTTAGAATACTAGCCAAATTACTTGTTATTAATAGGCACAAGCTACAAAGCCTCGTGAAGATTTTTTTTTGGGACTGGAGAGACGGTCTTGTGTTTTAGTCATATAACGTCCCTAATTAGTTGACCACGACTGTATATATTTTTTAATCCTATTGAGGTTTGTTCAGACACTGTGTGAGACCTCATAGTATTTTTTGTGGATACGGGCGTACTTTCTCCGTCCCACTATTGGGATGAGAAAACGAAACTTTTAGGCTGGTTTTAGTGTCACGCGGACCGTCCGGTGTGGACCCGCTTTGCACGACCAATCTGTATGAACTTCTAGGGAGCGTTTTAGAGTAATACGGTCTGGAGGAACCGCTCGCATCCTAGCAGTTCATACAGATCGGCTGTGCGGAGCGATCCGCACTGACAGTCCGCGTGACACTAAAACCAGCCTTATTATTAACTCCTTGAATCTTCCAGACACGGTCGGGGCAGGTGTTTTTCCGTCAAGGGCCTCAAAATTTGCATAGATTACTTCCTGAAAAGGGGACACGCGGTGAAGGCGTTTGTTCCACGCTTCAGGTAAATGGAAAACTCCAAATATTTTACAGCAGGTAATACTTTTTAAATTTTTTGTCAACTGGTCAGTACAGCAGTGGAGTTGTATATGGAGTTGAAGTTTGAATTTTGTAGCGTAATCGCAGAAACTTGTTACTAGGTATTTTAAAATATGAAATGAAGAATAAATAAGTAAAAATACATATTAACAGGTATGTTACTCATATTGTAAGTCTATAGAAAAGTTTAGCTAACCCACTGTAACAATATGTCAATCAAATTCTAAATGCATACAATTAACACAGTTTGTTGTATACCTTTCTTAACTCTTAAGCCTTTCTAAACCTTTCTTTAGTTTGCTTTGCTCTAAGTAAGTTACTACTTAGGATTTGATCTTATAAGTAAATGCCGCTACTAACGAATCATGTCATGGTTTTATTTTCAAAACCTTGCAGTTCTATGGTAAGTGTATAATTCAAAATTCGTTCCTGTTCCTTACATTAGATGACTCATTTTATAAATTGGCTACTGATAACGCACTGTCACCAACTTTTCTGTTCTATCATAGACTATTTTCTGTTGCACATCCAATTGGTTTTTAGGCTAAAATCCGGTCATCGAGCACGTAGAATTTCGTCCAATGACCCCTGTCGCGCTCGCACACTCACTGCGGCCGCCCGTTGCAAAGTCGCGAGAGCATTATAATTACGCGCGAGCGATAAGGATGGGTAGCTTGGGGTCTCAGATCATAGAAAGAGAATAGATATGAAGTCGCGCGTAACTACAACGAGAACCAGTGTCCCCACATTTCCCCCACCACAGCTCCCACACACACATTCAACTGTGTAAAAACAAAGCGACTGAGAGTCTACGACAACATGTGCAACCGGCTTAAAAGTGCTGTGATTGGCCAGAAGGCGTGCCTTATGGCCAATCAATGGCCGCGTGACGTGACGCACACTTTGAAAAAAGCAATTAGAGAGAAGAAAGATAAAATGGAGTCGATAAGATATCGATACTTTAAATCCTGGGGGCAAGGCTCGAAATTGGTTTAAAAAATGCTTGTATGAAAACCTTTTTATTATTATACGTTATTATTATGTTCTTTAACGATTTTTGCATAAAGGAGTCAGTTCCATTTTGTATGGACGAAAAACTCAGAATCAATTATTGGGACTAAATGAAGTTACCTTATATTAATTTACCCCAACCAAAGCTCAATGTCGTTATCGATGGAGTATAGAAGTTATAGACTGACAAAGTTTGTATGAAAAGTCATGGGTTAAGTAGGTACTTGCGATTTTTACCAGTATTTACAATATTGGTAATATATTATTATTTACTTTAATAATAATAACAGGATCACTGTAATTATTATTAACTACTATCGCGCATTAACTTTTTAATTATGGCGAAATTCGTACCGCCTATGTTTATCAAAAATAATGCCTATATTAGGCTTTCAACTAGCTCTTATAGTAATTACATAGTTGACAGTTACTAATCCCTTCTACTATTGTTATTGTTTTTGTAAAAACTTAAAAATCGCAAGCAACTCATGATTTTTTCATTCAAAATTAGAAAATAGAAAATAATAATTTACTTCTATTTATCGATAATAGGAAACCGTATTAGAACACGAGCCCTGCACTATGTTACGACCGGCACATGCGGCCGTACTGTGTATTTTCACGCGTCAGTGGATATCGGAAGAAATAAAATACATTGCGCAGTAGTTACGCATGACATAAAGTGGTTGCTAACTAAATCGTCAATGTACAACGTGTTTGAATTTTTATCACCACTAATTTCGATATCGCAGTAAATGTCACGGCACTGAATACGTTCGTAAAAATGTTTAGTTTTTTTTATTTATAAGCAAAATACCAATGGATTTGCAATACTTACATGTGGTAAATGACTTCATTGTTCCTGTAGTTCTTCGTTTCACTTATGTTATTGCACGTTACGACGCATTATCCAACAATATCGGAGAACATTTCCTCAGTACGACTGAATCGCGACTAACCTGGCGTCGCGGGCGATGTTCGTTTCTGGGCATATCGCGGAGACACGCGCCTCGCCCCCGTTTCACATCTATTCCCTTCTATGATCTGAGCTTGGGGTCATTGGACGAAATTCTATGTGCTCGGCGTCGGACTTTAGATAGAAGTATTTTTTTTTTTGTATTATTCTTGGAAGTTTTATTGTACCGCTTGTTCCAACATTGTCCTGTTTTGTATACCTTTTAAAATAATAAATTAATAGGGATTTCGATTTCAGTACCCAGTCCACACTGGGTACTGAAATCCAAATTGTGTTTAGTCCATCAGACAGATAATAAAATTATATTGGACACGTATTTTTTATTTTTTTTCATAATCGAACAATTACAGTATTATATTGAGTTGAAAAGTCGCATGACGTCACTTCTAAGTAAAAATCTACCTAGGCGTGACGTCACGGCCATTTTAACTCGATGTAGCGCTGTTATTATTTAATAATGAAAGAAAAGAAAAAATAGGTATCCAATATTTTTTTATTGTCTGTCCGACGGACAAATTATAGAAATTTTGTTCACTAGCATATTACTGGCAAGTACCCAATGCTAAGGCTGAGTTGCACCACCTTTTGACCGTAACTATAGCGATAACCGGTGTTTTTGTATGGAGTTTGAGATATTTTTGACGTTTGTCAAAGTTAAAGTAAGATGGTGCAACCCAGCCTAAGGCCCAGTTTTTTGATTCATAGTTAAAATAATAGACTAAGAGCTAGTGAACGCCAGACCTACGTTATTTTATAAAGGCTGAAAGTTTGTCAGCGCATGCTCCCAACATAGCTAAGAACCATGGCCAAACATGAAGTTTGGGTCATGGTGGCTTTGGCAGACAGACGGTACTAAAGGTGTGTAAAATACCAACTTAATTACGTCAAAGTATAAAGGCTGATTTTTTGATATTTCCTTCAAAATGTTATTAGAAATGACATCATTCATTGACAGACACCTACCATGGTGGAAGCCCTTAGCCAGACACCTTAAAGTTCATGAAAATGCAGTCCTACTTACGTCATACTATAAAAGCTGAAATTTGCATAAAATGTTTGAACCATCATTTGATGAAGTTTCTTCATCAGCCAGACACTTCTGATGGTTCCTTTGCCTTGCCAGACAGCTTTTAGGGTGGCTGAAAGTGCGAACGCGAGGCACTATAAATATTGTGTACTAAAGGTGTGTAAAATACCAACTTAATTACGTCAAAGTATAAAGGCTGATTTTTTGATATTTCCTTCAAAATGTTATTAGAAATGACATCATTCATTGACAGACACCTACCATGGTGGAAGCCCTTAGCCAGACACCTTAAAGTTCATGAAAATGCAGTCCTACTTACGTCATACTATAAAAGCTGAAATTTGCATAAAATGTTTGAACCATCATTTGATGAAGTTTCTTCATCAGCCAGACACTTCTGATGGTTCCTTTGCCTTGCCAGACAGCTTTTAGGGTGGCTGAAAGTGCGAACGCGAGGCACTATAAATATTGTATTTTGTACTTTTTCTTAAGTTACTCAAGTATTTGAGTCTGTAAATCATCATTTATGTTGATGAGGTAAGTACAACTCCTTAAGGCTTAGGTAGGTAATCCCTAATTTTAAAGTGATTACCTCTGAAAGTTGCCTAGAGTAAAGTTCTTAGCAACATTAGCATTACCTATGTTAATGCTAATGTTGCTAAGAACTTTACTCTAGGCGTTTAGCAACTATTTCGAAGAGAAAAATTTTGGCACCATATTTTCCGTGTATATAAATTCTAGTGAGGATTTGGGGGTCCTAATTCAATATAGAATTGTTATAGAATTATTTGATACTATAAATTTGATTATACTATGCATAGTAATAGATATATCGTGATGGTTTCGCTGGAAGGATACTCTGCAGCACAAGTGCACAAGCAAAAGTGGTTACTTTTAATAACAAAATACGGCGAAACCTGAGACATAGTTTTTTTTTTTAAATAGGACTAGAATTTTATAGACATTTCATAGATTTATTTTAGAAACTTACACTAGTTAAATCAAAAGTAGTTCCGCCGGGGAGCATGACGTGAATTATCCTACAACTTCTAAGCGTTAAGGAGTTGTACCTCCATCAACATGGGATGACGACTAGCTGATGCAAACACCCAAATAACTTTAGAAACCACACTTTTATATACTGGTTAAAGAATTGTCCTCCAACTCTTAAGCCTTAAGGAGTTGTACTTACCTTCCATCATCAGCTCATCAACATGAGATGATGCTTTATAGACTCAAAATACTTGAGTAACTTAAGAAAAAGTACAAAAAACAATATTTATAGTGCCTCGCGTTCGCACTTTCAGCCACCCTAAAAGCTGTCTGGCAAGGCGAAGGAACCATCAGAAGTGTCTGGCCGATGAGGAAACTTCATCAAATGATAGTTCAAATATTTTATGTAAATATCAGCTTTTATAGTATGACGTAAGTAGGACTACATTTTCATGAACTTTAAGGTGTCTGGCTAAGGGCTGCCACCATGGTAGGTGTCTGTCAATGAATGACGTCATTTCTAATAACATTTTGAAGGAAATATCAAAAAATCAGCCTTTATACTTTGACGTAATTAAGTTGGTATTTTACACACCTTTAGTACCGTCTGTCTGCCAAAGCCACCATTACCCAAACTTCATGTTTGGCCATGGTTCTTAGCTATGTTGGGAGCATGCGCTGACCAACTTTCAGCCTTTATAAAATAACGTAGGTCTGGCGTTCACTAGCTCTTAGTCTATAACTAATTGTTAAATTTTGCTACTAAAGGTTCAATATTAACCAAATGTTAACTAATAGTTAAAAAATGTACTAAAAGTCGAGCTAACCATTGTTCGAAAAAAATTGGGCCTAAGGCCCAGTTTTTTGACAGATGTCAAATGACGTGGTTAAATATCAGTGGGTCTAGACAAAGTGCAATTATGATCGCAAACCAGTCGAAAAGTGGTCGAAAAGCCCCTTTTTGTATGGAATTTTGACGGATTCGTTTTTCGATTCGATCAAAAAGTGCGTTTTGTCTAGGGGGGCAGGAAAAAATGTTTTTCGAACAATGGTTAGCTTGACTTTTAGTACATTTTTTAACTATTTGTTTACATTTTGTAAACCATTAGTAGCAAAATTCAACAATTGTTATTTTAACTACGAATCAAAAAACCGGGCCTAAGTCGTGTCGCGTCGCAGGTGTAAGTTCGGCAAGAGCTCGGAGCCGCGGCTGCTGGACGAGCTGGAGCGGCGAGGTCTAGTCGTGTATACGCCCAGCCGCGAGATACAGGGCAAGCTCATCACCCCCTACGATGACAGGTGAGATATGGCGCTTCTGTTCAATGGAACATTGTGATGATGATGAATTTCACCATCAATCCCTTATTTTTAAGGGGTTATGTCTGTTTTCACCATCAATCCCTAATTTTTAAGTAACCCCTATATGATACGCATTTTGTATTCATAGGGGTCACTTAAAAAATAGGGATTGATGGTGAAAACGGGCATTATTCCACTATTCCCCGTTGACAATCCCCGTCAACGGGGATTAGTGAACTTTTCGCTCACTTATTGTTAACGTTAACGCCAATTGGAGCTTTTAAATGGGGAATAATGAACTAAAAAGTTCATTAATCCCCTTTATATTAGGATTTTATTTTATTTATTGACGTATACCAACAACATTACATACAAAGTAATTACATACATGAAAATCTTACATACCTATAGAAGTTTAGTGTGCATGCCAATAACAGGTACACACATCTTTTGCTAATAAACTTAGTTTATTTCAATTAATAAGTAGGTATGAAATACAGTCAACAGCATATCAGACCACACGTCATATTTGTTGTTATTTTGAACGTAATGGGGATTAATGAACTTTTTAAAGTTCATTATTCCCCATTATAAGTTCCAATTGGCGTTAACGGGGAATAGTGGAATAAGCCTTTTTAAGTGACCCCTATGAAAACAAAATTCCTGTTATGTGTTACTGTTACGGTTAATGTGATAAATTGAAAATTATTAATAATAACCGGTTATTATGAATAATTACCGACAGTCGCGGTAAAAGTGATAAATTAATCACATTTAACAGTGATTATTTAATAATTCAACCTTAGTAGGAAACAAATTTCATGAAAGAGAACAACATCTTGTGTACGTGCTCGTGTACAACCAAACTTTTGAACGTTTTGATATCATATATTAATATAATTTGGCATAATGAGTTTGGAATGTTTCTTGCATAATATTACTTTTCCATGATGCCCATAACATAATGTTTTGATTTAAAGTGAAAAATAGGTTAAGGTGCGGCGGGGGTGGCCACCCCTAAGCCGCCTATTTAGTTTTATACACACATAAATGACCTCATATTAATCACATTTACCAAATCATGCGGTAATTATTCATAATAACCGGCGATTATTCATAATTTTCACATTTATCACTTTGACCGTAACATTACCATAAGGAGTCACTTAAAAATTTGTAAGGGATTAATGGTGAAAACGGGCATTACCACTTTAGTAATAAAAACTACACAATCGTTGAACAGTGGAAATTCTTTCATCGTCAGTTTTCAACAAGTGTGTAACTTTATTAGTAATGGAGATACCATTTGATTGTGTACTGGATTGGATATTGTATTTTATGACAGCACATTAGACTATACGTTTTTGTTGCAATAAATTAAGATGCCTTAATGTTTAGTTTTGTGTCGTGCTCTGTAAAATCTTAAATATGTAACATCTATCACAATTGCATACATAACAACTTTACAAGAAGGTACCAAAAGTTGAGAAAGACCGAAAAATAAAAATCTCCTAACTTTGAGATTCTTACTAAAGTGAAAACATTGTTGTGTCTGAAAAGCAAGCTACTGTACAGTCGACAGCACTTCAAGCTATACATTTTCGTTGAAAAGTCGCCCGTATCGCAACTACGTAAGATACCACAGTGTTTACGTTGACGTGCTGTTGACCGTACATCCACTATCTATCTAGCATGCATGTTTTGGGACACCCTGTATAAGATACCATTTTTAGCTTGATATGTTTACAAAAAATCACCATCATTCTTCCAGGTACATCGTACAATGCGCAGCAGAGTTCGACGGCGTCATAGTGACAGGGGACAACTATCGCGACCTACTGCAAGAGAACCCGCGTTGGAGATTCGTCATAGAGAACCGGTTGCTTCCCTTCACGTGGGTCAACGATATGATCATGTTCCCACGGGACCCTTTAGGCAGGAACGGACCAACTTTGGAACAGTTTTTAAGGCACCCAGTGGCTAAGACTATTCCTAGTATAGTGCTGTGAATCCCAAATATGCTGACAATATGGATTGTTACAAGTTTTAGAGTTGATTGGTCAAATTGTTTTATTTTATATTGATTGGGAATCCGTCATTTTATTGTCTAACTGACCTATGAAGGGTTAAAGAATTTTATTATGTTACCTACTAAACCGTATAGTGAATTTTCGTTTAATTGAAATATCTGAAATGAAGATTTGAAAATACATTGTATGTAAACCAAAAATTGTAGTGTGTACATTTGTGATGTTTATAAATAAGGCTTATGAAATGTCGCTCATACATAGTTCAGTGTACAACTGATTAAACAATATTACATGAATCTTAATTCTAAATACTTTGAGCTTCATTTCAAAATAATGGCATAAATCAGCGTTCAATAAATAGTTGTGACTCAATGACTGTGAAAGGAAATGTCCATGACGATTTCTTTCCCGATGAAATATGACAATAGCGTCTCCTTCTACTGTCGACTCACTTCTCCAGGAATACACTGCCATTTTTATAATGCATTTTGTACCTTAAAATTAAATTGTCTGCGTACCTTCACATCTCCAGTGAGAAGAAACAGTATGTTTTTGTAAAAAGATGCAATTTTATTTTTGAAAGTAACTGGACCGACTCTTTTAAATGTAATGGAACGTAGAAGTTTACGGTCTAAAATCATAGTCAAGTTGGCGTCAATACTAATTGAAAGAAATTCACGGTCAGTTTAAATTCGTTACCAATTTCAAAAACAGTCAAAGATTTGAAAATGTAAATATTTTATGTTTTTAGTTACTTATTTCCAAAGCAAGGGACTTATTATAAAATGCTAGGGTTTTTTTTTATAATTGTGAAAATAAGAGAAACTGCATTTGCTATGTTAGTTACCCAGTCACTCTCACTGGTAATAATATTTCAAATCATTGTTTCTTAGAATATTTAAATTTTGAATTAATTTAAGTATTTAATTAAAAAGTATTTGATTAAATTTCACATTGAATTGTGATATTTTTAATAATATTGTCAGTTCAATGAATAATCTACATACATAATATGGATATTGAAAACATATCTCTAAGTAGTTGATGAGTGTGTATTTTTTATGATAAAAAATACACTTCATTGAATTACTCCGTTTCTTTTAAAATATTATGTCATTCTTTAGAGTAACAATAATAAACAAACTTTTTGTAAATTATGATAATGTAATGCTTATTTAAGTTTCAAGACAGCTACTTGTGTGGTGAAATTTTAGTTCAAAAAATAGTCATTTTGGTTAAAAATTGAGAGAAAATACTTGATCTGATTTTATTTTCTCTAAAAATTTAAACTTACCTCTCGCAATTTGTTAAAAGATATTTATTTTTATAAATAAAAATATTTTACGAAAGTTTTTATCTTTCATTTCATACCTACACTCCACAACATACACACATTAAACCATACAGAAGAAAATAAAAACACGATATAATTAATGACTGTTTATTATAATAAAATGGTTTACTTTGCATCAGCTCGTTCAAACCATCCAAATACATCATGCATAGAAAACAAAAGTTTGGGATTTACATTATACATACATACCTAGATAATTGTGCATCAAAAAGGTAACTTCGCTTGAAAAGTTGTGTTGAAATATTGTGCAACAAAACTTGTAACATTTAAAATTCAAAAATAATCAAAAACATTTAAAGTATTATAACAAACAATTTATCATAATTCAAAAGCATAAATTATTTAAAAATATTGAATTATAGTTGATATTGTATACATTAATGTCTTAGTACAAAATCACATTCAATATTTTAGCTTACCTACTTACATTACACTTACAACTAAAAGTGCACTTACAATAAAACAATTGGCATTCATTGTATTTACTAACAAGCGAGTAAAATATATTTGCTTTGATATTTCATGCAATACGCCACAGACTTGCGATTCTTGTTACATACTTGAACGAACATGCCAAATAAAGTACCTACCATTTCAAAAAATGCATAACGAGAGGGGACCACGTTTCGCTAAACGTAGAATTATCTGACCTAGTTTACCCGCCTAGCTGGTATTTAACCCAGAATGAGTCAAAGACACAACTTGAAAACAAATTAGTGGAAACGAGAGCACTACAAAAAGTCGCATGTCTGTAGCAAATTACAATAATGCTTACATAATATAATACAACAATTAACTCCTTATCATAATCTCACTTTCCTTACGCCAAGCTCTGCTTACTTTCACTACAGTCTTGGATTAAGCTATTTGTGCGTTGACCAGCAAAATAGACAAAATAAAAAAATCAGAACTCTTCCAATAAAAATAAGTTTATAACCTCAGAGGTTTGGTTGCCATTAAACAAAAAAAAACAGGCAACATCTAAAAGAAGTTAGAAAAAAAAGACATGCAGCATGCTCTGTAATGTCCATAGAAGATATTCAAATCGCATGCAAAACTGTAGGTTACATTGTATTTGATTAATTCTTCTAGAATTTTGTACAGGTGCTATTTGAAAGTATTGTTGCGTTGTAGTTTTCAAAACCGGGCTACATATTGCTACTGTACTAAGTAGTTTAGCTAAATAACTATTTTGGTATAGTCCTGTATGATAATATTACATAATAAGCAGGTTAAATATTACAAGATTATGTTTTGGCACTACTGCTAAATAGCATACATTTTGGGATCTAGTTCTATTGCTTTTAGAATGGAACTGCAAGTTAAAACCATAAAGTTAATATTCCTTGAAGGAATATTAACTTTATGGTTAAAACTAGTTTTAGGTAGCCTACAGCTTATTATTATGAGAAAAACAATTTACCGACCAATTTCAAAAATACACATCTTCTAACCAATTTATATGCAATCCAAAAATATTTTTCGCAACCCACTTCGTACAATCGTACTCATTTATCAAGGCATTCCGTTACACAAAATAGAGTGTAAGATATAGTTTGGCAAAATATTTAATTAGAATTTCTGAAAATCATTACATTTTTTTACTTCTCAATGTATAGTCGCTAACACATTGGACTACATTACAAAAGAGCATTATTATTAATATTCTGGATGCCTCAATATTTAGCTTAAAGTATAGTTTTTCGTACAACACTGTTTCTAAAACTTTTTTGAAAAAGCATTTAACATTTGCCAAACTATCCCTTACATCCTTTATAATAAATTTTGATTAATTTCCATAATATTATAAAATGTTTACAAATAATTCGCCCAGCTATTGAATAATAGCTACGTGTGTGTGATAAAATTGATAATTTATTGTAAGATACAATAGTGTCAATTTAAATAAGAAAAGAACAAGAGAGGGATTATCAAAACTTCGATTTCGTTCAAAATAGTTTGAATCACCTCCCTTGCATTGAAAATGGAATTTAATTGTGATACTTATACGTCTTGTGGAAAACCTTGGGGGAGGCCTTTGTCCAGCAGTGGACGTCATTTGGCTGAAACGAACGAACGAACTTATACGTCTAACGCTATATTCAGTTAGTGCCTGAGATATGGGAGCTGGAGTGGCAGTAGTGGCACGAGAGGAGTGGCGTTGACATATTTTTTATGCAAAACAAGGCAGGTATTTGACCTCAATCGCACCTGATGTTAAGTGGGATGCAGTCTAGGATGGTACATATCTGCCCTGCAAGTGCCTATTCACTCTCGCCTTGCAAAGGCCCGGATTATAGTCTTCGGGAAAGACAGTATTATGACGTGACAGAGCATACAAATCTGAAGTCGTTTGACGTCAATAAAAACACCCTCCTGTGCCCCGATTCCGCAAATTTTTAACGTCTCTAATACATTGGCGCTTCTTCACCAGTTGCGCTCCGTTTCTCATTCCAGCTGAGGTGCAAATTCGGTATCGCGGTAAAGTTTACGCGCAAACATAGACGAAACAACCGATTTAATCACTTTCCAATAAAAGTTTTTTTTAAAAAACCTTCCAGTAAAAACACCTCATTTTTAACTAAAAATAGCAAAATTAAATGTTCGTGAAGGCGTTTGACTTGAGTTTGAGAAAAAGTAGCTTTCTTTCAGCTTTTACACAAAGTAGCAGTTGCGTTTTGTTTTCGTTTGAACTAGCTGTCAAAGCGACACCGCGATACGAATTGTGATTTTTGTTAGTCGTCTAGTCGCGTTGTAGTTGAAAATATTACCTCAGGCACTGATTGAGTTAAGTACTAGACCTACAATAATTGAAAAAGCATTCACTTTAACAACCGCCAAAGCATAACCAATTTCTCCAATGAATATTCAATTATATGCTGTTAGAATAAGGTACAATATTGAATTGAGAGTACTCATATTCTGGTAGGTTGATATCATGTGCGTGCGTATCAAACAAATTCACACACCAAAAATAAACATCCATTGGGGAAAATCATCATTTTTGTAATAATTTTGATTAGTATGACATAGTATGATGAAGATTTCTAGAAAAAAAATACTGTCTGAAAAATTAAAGTATTTAAAATTGACACCAAACAATTAGTTATTAATAACAATTAACATTTTCGAAATCCCTAATATTTGGTAAAATAATTTTACATAATTATGAGATCTATTTGAAATAACTCAAGTAACGATTAACACCGCTTCAATCTTTATAAACAATCAAGACAAGACTTATCAAGACATCAATCCCGAATTTCAGCACCTCATTATTGTTGTACAATAACACTATAATATTTCCTAATTTAAAAATTTTGATATATTCTTATAACCTCTTCAGTCACTAATGGAAAACTGTAATCTTTGAATGCAGTTTTTTTTTCTTTCAAAAAATAAAGAACTGTTTTCTTTGAGTAAAATTTTCTATCTACAGTATTAAGAGTAATATCCCTCCAGGTGGCATTACAAAATTCCACCCTGTATAATTTCATTTTTGACCGAAGTAGATCAGTGATTAAGAACTCTGCTACTACGTCAGAGGTCCTAGGTTTGACCCCCGCAAAATGCAAACATTTGTACGAATTAAAATATGTATATTATGTTTGAGTGAGTTTTTCTACTATGTTCCGTTGAATAGTTCACGTTTACTTAGATAGGGATTAAATGGCGCTGTATTTTGCAAGATTACCCCATTAATTCATATTAAAGAGGTACGACCCTCTATATTTAGTGACTGAAGATTTTCTGACTTGGTATTAAATAAGCAAGCATGGATGGAATTATATTACTGCGGTAATGTAGATTTACTACTAAATTATTTTCAAGTTTTCTCAAATTACGTATGATTGTTTTATTATTAATATCTACCTAAACATCGTCGTCTTTGGAAATCATGTCCAGTTTCAGCTGTTCTAACTGCAGTTGTCGCCTGATAGAGCCAAGTTGGGTCAAAATGCTGACGTTTTTGCCTTCTTCATTAGGTACTGATTTCAGTATGTTCTTCTGAACAACTGGTACCTTCCACTTGTCATCAATTTTCCTCATCGCCTCGCTCAAGTTTGAGCCAGTTTCGACCCTATCGCTTTGTATTACAGGCGAATGTCGTAAAACCGGTATGGGTAAAGAATCAATTGGGTCTTGTATACTTTTCCTCTCTTTCGCAATCGGAACATTTTTGGATTTAGGTCTCTCGTGTACAAGAACTTTTTCTGTTTCTGCAACTTTACCTATACCGTCATAATCGTAGCGGTTGAAATCGAATCTATCTTTAAAATTAAGGTTCTTCCTCAAATAACTATCGACGTCATAGTTTGGAGAGAATATAGAATCGTCGGGTATATTCATCGAATAGGGTTTCCTCTCGTACGGTTCAGATTTCTCTGAGTACCGAGAATGTTCTTTGTTTTGGTAAACTCTCTCTTGAGTTGGCTCGTTAGCTGTTAGCCTGTAGTTTATGTCGTGGGGTAGTTCAGTTTTCTCTAGGGGACGGATCTGTCTCTCTTCTTCCCTCTCTATTCGAGGGTAGTTGGATCGGAAGTATGAGGGTAGTTTGGTGTCGGTGTCGCTTTTGGAGGTGGTTATTCGTTTGGGCAGAGATGTGAGTTGAGATGTGGATAACGGAGCCCGTAAAAGCTTTAGTTGTTCATTGTCGATGTCCTTTTGTAGTTCTTTGCGCTTTTTGTCGTATTCCATTTTGTTTTCTTGGATCTGTAAATAAAATATATTTTAAATAAATGAAAATGTGAAGATTCAGAATTTCTATGTGAAAAAATAAAATCTCTCAGAATAATAAATAAACCTATACATTTTTTTAAAGATATTTTTTTACTGTAATTAAAATTTCTTAGCGATTAGAGTCGCTTCTCAAACAAAACTTTTTAAAATAAACAAATTGAAAAATCGTACTGCCTAAGGCGGGAATTAAACCCACGACCTTTCGCTTATTTATATATTTTTTTTACTGATTCCATTGGTTAACTATCCGACATTGGCATGTCTTTAGTGTAAAATAGTAATGAGTTATGTGTCACTAAGTGTTACTTTATTTATAAAGATGGAGTGAGGATTTGTGAATTAGATTTTCTTTCACGCAAAAACTAATAAAGCTTTTTTATAAATAAACTCACCGCGGTATCAATGTGATGCCGTTTATCCATTTCTCTGTCTTGAGCCACGCGCAGCATTCTCAGTTGTTCTTCCAATCTCCGCATCTCGGCTTGTTCAAGCATTCTGCAAATTGTTGATTATTTATTTATTTTATGTAAAGCTATCAAACAGGAGATCAGAGAATATATTGTTAAGTTAGCTGCCAGAGAATAAAAAACCTTAAAGCATTAAGCTCGCCCTTTGTTCCAATTACATATTAACTAAATCTAAATATAATTATACAGGGTGTTTGGTAAATGGGTATATGAGCCGACACTAGCCCATGTTAACATGGGCATATAAATGATATGGTGAAGTCAGAAATTTGATATCATCATTTTATTTTTTTAAATTTTCATACAAAATAAATTTTATAAATTCCGATTTGTATAAAAATTAAAATAGTTAAAATGAAGATATCAATTTTCTGACTTCACCATACCNATGGTGAAGTCAGAAATTTGATATCATCATTTTATTTTTTTAAATTTTCATACAAAATAAATTTTATAAATTCCGATTTGTATAAAAATTAAAATAGTTAAAATGAAGATATCAATTTTCTGACTTCACCATACCATTTATATGCCCATGTTAACATGGGCTAGTGTCGGCTCATATACCCATTTACCAAACACCCTGTATAACTCAAAGGTGACTGACTGACATAGTGATCTATCAACGCACAGCCCAAACCACTGGACGGATCGGGCTGAAATTTGGCATGCAGGTAGATGTTATGACGTAGGCATCCGTTAATAAACGATTTTACGAAACTCCACCCCTAAGGGGGTAAAACGGGATCCACGCGTACAAAGTCGCGGGCGGCCGCTAGTGGAATATGAGTTTCAATAAATAAATACTCACTTTTCTCTAGATTTCCTCTCTTCCCGTATCCGTTGTTGTTCCATAATCTGATTCTTCAACTCTTGTTGGTAGAATTGACGCCTAGCTGCGGCCTCCTAATGTTTATTAAAAAAGATGTTGATTAAAATGTTGTAGTACACGCCAATAGGAACTGGCATTTTTAAATAATACCGAATAACTTGCATTGACACCAAACCGTGTTTGGTAAAAAATTAAAAAGAATAATAAAAATAAATAATAAATAAATGACACGGTTCATCACATGACAAAAGTATACAGAGTCAGAAATAATGACTTTCTTTTGATTTTAAAGCATCACCAAACGTTTATTTCTTTTTAGCCCGAAGATTAACTAGCAGATAATGCCTAACAGTGTTAAGTTCGCCTTACCTTCTCAGCCTGCAAGTTGCGCATTTGTATGGCGTCTGCATCGAAGATGGACGGCATGTACGAATGGCGGAGGTCCGACGTCAGCTTGTCGCGGTTCGATTTCTTTAGCAGGGTAGATGAGCGCTCTGGAAATACATAAGAAGAAATTAAAATAGTATACTCTATGAGACTTCTCACTATAGGCTTTATACAGAAGCTCAAAGTTGCACAGCGTGCTATGGAGAGGGCTATGCTCGGTGTTTCTTTACGAGATCGAATCAGAAATGAGGAGATCCGTAAACGAACTAAAGTCGCTGACATAGCCCGACGGATTAGCAAGCTGAAGTGGCAATGAGCAGGACACATAGTACGCAGAACTGACAGCCGATGGGGCAGCAAGGTTCCGGAGTGGAGGCCGCGTACCGGAAAACGCAGCGTGGGACGTCCACCCACAAGGTGGACCGACGACATCATAAAGGGAAGCGCTGGACGCAGGCCGCTACCAACCGATCAACATGGAAAGCATTGGAGGAGGCCTATGTTGAGCAGTGGACGTTCTATGCTTGAAATGATGATGATGACTATGATTTTGACGAATGTTTCAACTAAAGTACAGCTGGACAAAGGCCTTCTTCCCAAGGATTTACATAAGGACCGGTCCTACGCTGCCACCATAGTCGGGCCACACTAGTCTTTCGGCCACCTGAGAACTTTTCTGCCCCAATGGACATCATTTCTACGAGTTCTTAAGTTTGTCAATTCTTCAACGAATCTCCACATTTTTAATTCGGAGAAGGTAATTCCTAGGAATAACTAGCTTAGCACGCTCCACCGCTCTTATAGGTGCTTTGAGTTTTTTTAAGAGACCCATAGTAAAGACCACGGAAATCCGTAAGTGATTATAACATTATAAGTAATTTTAAACAAAAAAAAATCATGATAACATAGCTTAGGAGCGTTCGGGGGCCATAATGTAGGGGACAACTCCCTCTCCCCTTTGTTTGAGCTGTCAAAAATAAGACGACACCAACCCCCGACAAAATTGCTCAAACGGGGACTCACAATCTAAGTCCTACCCCGCAGCGCGGTCGGGGGGCGTTTGGGGGCAACTGTGTATGGAGATAGCTCCCTCTGTGCTTACGTGAGCTGTGTCTTGTTGGAATGGAAGCTAAAAGGTATCTACTAGTTCCCAAGTGTCTAGTAGGTTTCCCACTAGTCCCCTAGTGTCTGGTAGGTTCCCACTAGTCCCCAAATGTCTGGTGGGTTCGGTTCACACTAGTCCCTAAGTGTCTAGTAGGTTCCCACTAGACCCCAAGTGTCTAGTAGGTTCCCACTAGTCCCCAAGTGTCTGGTGGGTTCCCACTAGTCCCCAAGTGTCTAGACGCTCTCCACTAGTCCTCAAGTGTTACACTCTTGATTGGGTTGCAAGCTAGTGCAGTCTAGCTAGACGGAAGGTCCCCACTAGTCCCCGTCCACTCACCGTCGAAGTCCCCTAGGCTCCGGCGGCGCTCGGCGCCCCCGCGCGGCGCCCACGCGGCCGGGGGGCGCTCGGGGGCCACCGTGTGGGGGGACAGCTCCCGCTCCGCTTGCGTGAGCTGCGACTTGCATGGGGAGGGGAGCTGGAAGGGAGACACTAGTCCCCAAGTGTTCAGACGCTCTCCCAAGTGTCTAGTCGCTCTCTTAAGTGTCTAGACACTCTCAAGTGTCTAGTCGCTCTCTTCTTAAGTGTCTAGACACTCAAGTGTCTAGTCGCTCTTCCAAGTGTCTAGTCGCTCTCCCGCGTGTCTAGTCGCTCTCCCAAGTGTCTAGTCGCTCTCCCGCGTGTCTAGTCGCTCTCCCGCGTGTCTAGTCGCTCTCCCAAGTGTCTAGACACTCAAGTGTCTAGTCGCTCTCCCAAGTGTCTAGACGCTCTCTCAAGTGTCTAGACACTCGAGTGTCTAGTCGCTCTTCCAAGTGTCTAGTCGCTCTCCCAAGTGTCTAGACACTCAAGTGTCTAGTCGCTCTCCCAAGTGTCTAGACGCTCTCTCAAGTGTCTAGACACTCGAGTGTCTAGTCGCTCTCCCAAGTGTCTAGACGCTCTCTCAAGTGTCTAGACACTCGAGTGTCTAGTCGCTCTTCCAAGTGTCTAGTCGCTCTCCCAAGTGTCTAGACACTCAAGTGTCTAGTCGCTCTCCCAAGTGTCTAGACGCTCTCTCAAGTGTCTAGACACTCGAGTGTCTAGTCGCTCTCCCAAGTGTCTAGACGCTCTCTCAAGTGTCTAGACACTCGAGTGTCTAGTCGCTCTTCCAAGTGTCTAGTCGCTCTCCCAAGTGTCTAGACACTCAAGTGTCTAGTCGCTCTCCCAAGTGTCTAGACGCTCTCTCAAGTGTCTAGACACTCGAGTGTCTAGTCGCTCTCCCAAGTGTCTAGACGCTCTCTCAAGTGTCTAGACACTCGAGTGTCTAGTCGCTCTTCCAAGTGTCTAGTCGCTCTCCCAAGTGTCTAGACACTCAAGTGTCTAGTCGCTCTCCCAAGTGTCTAGACGCTCTCTCAAGTGTCTAGACACTCGAGTGTCTAGTCGCTCTCCCAAGTGTCTAGACGCTCTCTCAAGTGTCTAGACACTCGAGTGTCTAGTCGCTCTTCCAAGTGTCTAGTCGCTCTCCCAAGTGTCTAGTCGCTCTCCCGCGTGTCTAGTCGCTCTCCCGCGTGTCTAGTCGCTCTCCCGCGTGTCTAGTCGCTCTCCCTTGTGTGTAGCCGCCCTCACAAGTAACTTGCCGCTCCCCACTAGTCCCCGTCCACTCACCGTCGAAGTCCCCTAGGCTCCGGCGGCGCTCGGCGCCCCCGCGCGGCGCCCACGCGGCCGGGGGGCGCTCGGGGGCCACCGTGTGGGGGGACAGCTCCCGCTCCGCTTGCGTGAGCTGCGACTTGCATGGGGAGGGGAGCTGGAAGGGAGACACTAGTCCCCAAGTGTTCAGACGCTCTCCCAAGTGTCTAGTCGCTCTCTTAAGTGTCTAGACACTCGAGTGTCTAGTCGCTCTCCCAAGTGTCTAGACACTCTAGTGTCTAGGCACTCTCTCAAGTGTCTAGTCACTCTCCCACGTGTCTAGTCGCTCTCCCGCGTGTCTAGTCGCTATCCCAAGTGTCTAGACACTCTAAGTGTCTAGGCACTCTCTCAAGTGTCTAGTCGCTCTCCCGCGTGTCTAGTCGCTCTCCCAAGTGTCTAGTCGCTCTACCGCGTGTCTAGTCGCTCTCCCGCGTGTCTAGTCGCTCTCCCGCGTGTCTAGTCGCTCTCCCGCGTGTCTAGTCGCTCTCCCAAGTGTCTAGTCGCTCTCTTAAGTGTCTAGACACTCCCAAGTGTCTAGTCGCTCTCCCAAGTGTCTAGTCGCTCTCTCGCGTGTCTAGTCGCTCTCCCGCGTGTCTAGTCGCTCTCCCGCGTGTCTAGTCGCTCTCCCGCGTGTCTAGTCGCTCTCCCGCGTGTCTAGTCGCTCTCCCGCGTGTCTAGTCGCTCTCCCTTGTGTGTAGCCGCCCTCACAAGTAACTTGCCGCTCCCCACTAGTCCCCGTCCACTCACCGTCGAAGTCCCCTAGGCTCCGGCGGCGCTCGGCGCCCCCGCGCGGCGCCCACGCGGCCGGGGGGCGCTCGGGGGCCACCGTGTGGGGGGACAGCTCCCGCTCCGCTTGCGTGAGCTGCGACTTGCATGGGGAGGGAAGCTGGAAGGGAATAATATGAACACATGAATAGAAATATCTTATCGTAAGTCAAAATCTATATAAATAAAAATGAATTGATGTTCGTTTGATTAAAACTCGAGAACGGCTGGGCCGATTGAGCTGATTTTGGTTTTAAAATGTTTGTCGTAGTCCAGGGTAAGTCTAAACGGTGAGTAAATACGCGCGCGATATTGTTTTTCTGTGACAGACAAAATTACACGCGGGCGAAGCCGCGGGCGGAAAGCTAAATAAATATCCTTGGACATTTTACACTGCGCTTCTAGCTTCTAGTCCCAAACTAAGCAAAGCTTGTACTATGGGTACTAGACAACGGATATAAACATACTTAAATACTTTCTTTTTGGTAAATACATACTTATTATACATAGAAAACACCCAGTCCAATACAAACAAAATATATCAAAGTCAGACGGGTTCACCCATGACATTGGGTTTGTTTACAGTTGGTATCGCATCTCGTTGGCCCTACTTTAGTAAACAATCAACAAGAGTTGTTTAAAGTTCTTCGAGTAATCGAAGTCTGCAAACAAAGTTTGGAAAGCTGAACAGATTATGAAACTCTCGATCAAGTTTCCTTTCGAACAAAAAAATACAAATACAAAAGAGAGGAGGGGGAAGAGGGAGGGAAGATGCCATAAACATTAATACTCATAATGTAAAACTTACCCTGAATAGTTCTGAATCATCAGTTTGAACGGCCACTGATAAAGGCGCGGACACACTGTCCACTTGAACGCCTGTGTCCACTCGACTGAAAATGAAGAAACAAAAACCCTGCATTTATAATGTTGCCAAGACAAGACCATTATTGGACTGTCACAAAGTGACCAGTAATTCCTTTATTGCTGTGATACTTTCAATAGACTTTTTTTTTATTTTAATATGTAACTTAATGTTAGATTATATTATATATTAAACCTATAACTAATACAATAAATGATTATTTGATTTGATTTGATTCTCTAAGATCTTAATGAATGAATTGATTATTTATAATTCTTAATAAAATAGATGATTTGACTTCTTAAAATTTTTGAATGTCTTAACAAGACGAAACATGTTGAGCTTGATTGTTTCCACTGACACCTGTATGTACTGTACCATGTTTCTGTGCAAATAAATAAATTATCTATCTAATCAGATCTCATGTAGATCCAGTTACATCTGTTAATCAAGCTCTACGCTCCCTCCAAGGTAAGGGAAAAAATAATTCTGTTAATAAAAGAAAATATTAACTTGATCACACTCACTTGTTATAAGAGAACGTAGCTACATGTCCAGTATAATTCTCACTGGCTCTCCTTCTCTCCGGGCTGCGTCTCTCCGCTATCCGCCTCGCCCTGTCTCTCTCCTGGCGCTCCCTTTCTCTCTCCTGGCGCTCTCTCCCCAGGAAAAAATATATTTACAAAAGAAAAGATGTATCCTACTTACTTGTTATAGGAGAACGTAGCTACATGTCCAGTATAATTCTCACTGGCTCTCCTTCTTTCTGGGCTTCGCCTCTCCGCTATCCGCCTCGCCCTGTCTCTCTCCTGGCGCTCCCTTTCTCTCTCCTGGCGCTCCCTTTCTATCTCCTGGCGGCTCACTCTCTCCTGGCGCTCTCTCTCCAGGAAAAAATATATATTTACAAAAGCAAAGATGTATCCCACTTACTTGTTATAAGAGAACGTAGCTACATGTCCAGTATAATTCTCACTGGCTCTCCTTCTCTCCGGGCTGCGTCTCTCCGCTATCCGCCTCGCCCTTTCTCTCTCCTGGCGCTCCCTTTCTATCTCCTGGCGGCTCACTCTCTCCTGGCGCTCTCTCTCCAGGAAAAAATATATATTTACAAAAGCAAAGATGTATCCCACTTACTTGTTATAAGAGAACGTAGCTACATGTCCAGTATAATTCTCACTGGCTCTCCTTCTCTCCGGGCTGCGTCTCTCCGCTATCCGCCTCGCCCTTTCTCTCTCCTGGCGCTCCCTTTCTATCTCCTGGCGGCTCACTCTCTCCTGGCGCTCTCTCTCCAGGAAAAAATATATATTTACAAAAGCAAAGATGTATCCCACTTACTTGTTATAAGAGAACGTAGCTACATGTCCAGTATAATTCTCACTGGCTCTCCTTCTCTCCGGGCTGCGTCTCTCCGCTATCCGCCTCGCCCTTTCTCTCTCCTGGCGCTCCCTTTCTATCTCCTGGCGGCTCACTCTCTCCTGGCGCTCTCTCTCCAGGAAAAAATATATATTTACAAAAGCAAAGATGTATCCCACTTACTTGTTATAAGAGAACGTAGCTACATGTCCAGTATAATTCTCACTGGCTCTCCTTCTCTCCGGGCTGCGTCTCTCCGCTATCCGCCTCGCCCTGTCTCTCTCCTGGCGCTCCCTTTCTATCTCCTGGCGCTCTCTCCCCAGGAAAAAATATATTTACAAAAGAAAAAATGTATCCTACTTACTTGTTATAGGAGAACGTAGCTACATGTCCAGTATAATTCTCACTGGCTCTCCTTCTCTCCGGGCTGCGTCTCTCCGCTATCCGCCTCGCCCTGTCCCTCTCCTGGCGCTCCCTTTCTATCCCCTGACGGCTCTCTCTCTCCTGGCGCTCCCTTTCTATCCCCTGATGGCTCACTCTCTCCTGGCAGTCTCTCTCCCTCTCCCCAGGAAAAAATATATTTACAAAAGAAATGATGTATCCCACTTACTTGTTATAAGAGAACGTAGCTACATGTCCAGTATAATTCTCACTGGCTCTCCTTCTTTCTGGGCTTCGCCTCTCCGCTATCCGCCTCGCCCTGTCTCTCTCCTGGCGCTCCCTTTCTATCCGTGTCTAGTCGCTCTCCCGCGTGTCTAGTCGCTCTCCCTTGTGTGTAGCCGCCCTCACAAGTAACTTGCCGCTCCCCACTAGTCCCCGTCCACTCACCGTCGAAGTCCCCTAGGCTCCGGCGGCGCTCGGCGCCCCCGCGCGGCGCCCACGCGGCCGGGGGGCGCTCGGGGGCCACCGTGTGGGGGGACAGCTCCCGCTCCGCTTGCGTGAGCTGCGACTTGCATGGGGAGGGAAGCTGGAAGGGAATAATATGAACACATGAATAGAAATATCTTATCGTAAGTCAAAATCTATATAAATAAAAATGAATTGATGTTCGTTTGATTAAAACTCGAGAACGGCTGGGCCGATTGAGCTGATTTTGGTTTTAAAATGTTTGTCGTAGTCCAGGGTAAGTCTAAACGGTGAGTAAATACGCGCGCGATATTGTTTTTCTGTGACAGACAAAATTACACGCGGGCGAAGCCGCGGGCGGAAAGCTAAATAAATATCCTTGGACATTTTACACTGCGCTTCTAGCTTCTAGTCCCAAACTAAGCAAAGCTTGTACTATGGGTACTAGACAACGGATATAAACATACTTAAATACTTTCTTTTTGGTAAATACATACTTATTATACATAGAAAACACCCAGTCCAATACAAACAAAATATATCAAAGTCAGACGGGTTCACCCATGACATTGGGTTTGTTTACAGTTGGTATCGCATCTCGTTGGCCCTACTTTAGTAAACAATCAACAAGAGTTGTTTAAAGTTCTTCGAGTAATCGAAGTCTGCAAACAAAGTTTGGAAAGCTGAACAGATTATGAAACTCTCGATCAAGTTTCCTTTCGAACAAAAAAATACAAATACAAAAGAGAGGAGGGGGAAGAGGGAGGGAAGATGCCATAAACATTAATACTCATAATGTAAAACTTACCCTGAATAGTTCTGAATCATCAGTTTGAACGGCCACTGATAAAGGCGCGGACACACTGTCCACTTGAACGCCTGTGTCCACTCGACTGAAAATGAAGAAACAAAAACCCTGCATTTATAATGTTGCCAAGACAAGACCATTATTGGACTGTCACAAAGTGACCAGTAATTCCTTTATTGCTGTGATACTTTCAATAGACTTTTTTTTTATTTTAATATGTAACTTAATGTTAGATTATATTATATATTAAACCTATAACTAATACAATAAATGATTATTTGATTTGATTTGATTCTCTAAGATCTTAATGAATGAATTGATTATTTATAATTCTTAATAAAATAGATGATTTGACTTCTTAAAATTTTTGAATGTCTTAACAAGACGAAACATGTTGAGCTTGATTGTTTCCACTGACACCTGTATGTACTGTACCATGTTTCTGTGCAAATAAATAAATTATCTATCTAATCAGATCTCATGTAGATCCAGTTACATCTGTTAATCAAGCTCTACGCTCCCTCCAAGGTAAGGGAAAAAATAATTCTGTTAATAAAAGAAAATATTAACTTGATCACACTCACTTGTTATAAGAGAACGTAGCTACATGTCCAGTATAATTCTCACTGGCTCTCCTTCTCTCCGGGCTGCGTCTCTCCGCTATCCGCCTCGCCCTGTCTCTCTCCTGGCGCTCCCTTTCTATCTCCTGGCGGCTCTCTCTCCTGGCGCTCTCTCCCCAGGAAAAAATATATTTACAAAAGAAAAGATGTATCCTACTTACTTGTTATAGGAGAACGTAGCTACATGTCCAGTATAATTCTCACTGGCTCTCCTTCTTTCTGGGCTTCGCCTCTCCGCTATCCGCCTCGCCCTGTCTCTCTCCTGGCGCTCCCTTTCTATCCTCCTCGCCCTGTCTCTCTCCTGGCGCTCCCTTTCTATCTCCTGGCGGCTCTCTCCCTCTCCTCAGGAAAAATATATTTACAAAAGAAAAGATGTATCCTACTTACTTGTTATAGGAGAACGTAGCTACATGTCCAGTATAATTCTCACTGGCTCTCCTTCTCTCCGGGCTGCGTCTCTCCGCTATCCTCCTCGCCCTGTCTCTCTCCTGGCGGCTATCTCTCTCCTGACGCTCTCTCCCCAGGAAAAAATATATTTACAAAAGAAAAAATGTATATTACTTACTTGTTATAGGAGAACGTAGCTACATGTCCAGTATAATTCTCACTGGCTCTCCTTCTTTCTGGGCTTCGCCTCTCCGCTATCCGCCTCGCCCTGTCTCTCTCCTGGCGCTCCCTTTCTATTTCCTGACGGCTCTCTCTCTCCTGGCGCTCTCTCTCCCTCTCCTCGCGCTCCCTTTCTCGCTCTCTCTCCTCGCGTTCCCGTTCTTTCTCTTCGCGCTCGCGCCGCTCCCTTTCAGCTTGCTCTTTCGCCTCTTGCTTCTTTTTTGCTTGCTGCGAAAGACAGTTACAATTTGAATTATGTTAAATGTGAATTCGTGTACACAAAGAAACTGAGGTATGTGAAAATCAAAAGGTATAATTTTTTTTTGAGTAATTTTTGTTTTGTTTCATGTTGACTGATGTTGACCAGCGAATTATTACGGACATTGGCAACTCAGACAGAAGCTCATCAGCTCGGTCCACAGCTGAACGTAAGATTAAAAGAACGTAAGATCCCAAGGAGCGTCATAGAACACAATCTCTGCTTTTTCCAATGCAGCCACTGCTAGCTACATTTTTAAATTCGTCGATCCATTCAGACGTTAACTGCCGTTTATAAGAAATTGCTACTTTTAACTTAGGCTACCTAAGTTAAAACTTTCTAATTTAACCTTTTAAACCTTTTAACTTTCTAACTCACCGATCCAAATACTCTCTGTACTGCTGCTGGCGGACCCTGCGCAGCGTGTGGTAGCAGAGGCGCTCGCTTTTGTCAGAGAACTTACAGGTACTACTTAATTTAGCATCACTGGTAGTTGGGTCTAGATTTGGCCTACACTCCTCACGCTGGCCAGAAGGGTTAGGGAGGCCGCATATTAGTTCCTTAGTCGCCTCTTATAACGTCCATGGGAAGAGTGGACTGTGGGTCTAATGTAACCCCGTCAAACTTTCCCAGCTCTTGACTTTAGGCTCACCTGATCCAAATTCTTCAAGTAGCTATTGCTGCCGGTACGCCAGCGTCCACAAGCTTCCCTGTTGAAGTTAAGAGAAGTTTTTTCTAGATTCTTCTATCTCACCTGGTCCAGGTACTCCCGGTACTGCTGCTGGCGGATCCTGCGCAGCGTTTGGCGGCGACGCTCGCATTTATCACAGAACTTACAGTGGTGGAAACCATCTCAAACCTTCCTTATTATAGAAATAATGTTCTAGATTTGTCTGTCTCACCTGGTCCAGGTACTCCCTGTACTGTGTAGCAAAAGCGTTCGCTTTTGTCAAAGATCTTAGAGTGGTGGGAAGTGGGAAGCGTCCCCAAACTTCCCAGCTGTTGAAGACGCTCTTGATATTAGGCTCACCTGGTCCAGATACTCCCTGTACTGCTGCTGGCGGATCCTGCGCAGCGTGTGGCGGCGGCGCTCGCATTTGTCAAACATCTTAGACGTGGGAATTGGGAAGCGCTCGCATTTATCAAAGATCTTAAGAGGGGTGGGAAGTGGGAAGCAAGTCTAGATTCTTCTATCTCACCTGGTCCAGATACTCCCGGTACTGCTGCTGGCGGACCCTGCGCAGCGTGTGGCGGCGGCGCTCGTACTCGCCGAGCCCGAGCAGCGCGTCGCCCGGCGCGCGCTCCCGCGCCAGCAGCGGGTTGTTGGGCGAGTACTCGCCGGCCTTCAGCGTCACTGGTAGACCCAAGATTGGATGGCCTACACTTCCAATGCGAGATAGATGAATTAGGGATGCCTTATCTTCGTAAATTCTCCCGAAGTCACCTCTAAAGAAGTCTCTGACTGGTGGGGAGGCGTGATGTTGGCAAAATCTCCCACAGTCGCCTCTTGCGGCGTCCATGGAACGAGTGAGTAGTAGCGACCATGGCATTTGTCAAAGAACTCACAGTGTTCTCGCCTCTTACGACATCCTCAGGAAGAGTGAAGCCGGAATAGCCCCTTTAAACACATGCAAGCTCTTGACTTTTGACTTACTTGATCCATATCATGCTGGAATATACCCCGTAATTTTCCGGCTTCCCTCGTGTCTACTCGATGATCTATTCACAGAAACAAAGAAGTTGTAGTAATAGTAGTGGCAACGGCATTTAAACGTAAGCTAGCTCTTGACTTTAGCTCACCTGATCCATATAGTCTCTGTTTGGTCGCTGGCATATCTTCCGAAAAGCTCGCTTTTGTCAGAGAACTGACAGTGGTGGGAACTGTCTCCAAGCTTCTCCATTGTGCTAAAAAACATGTGTTTGCTTGCTCATCTGGTACAGATACTCTCTGTACTACTGCAGGCGTATCTTCTGAAGGGTCTGCCACACCCTTATATTTGTCAAAGAACTTACAGTGGTGGGAACTATCAACAAGCTTCCTTGCTGTGGAAAATAAGTTGGCATTTGTTTTCTTCTCTGTCTCACCTGGTCCAGATACTCCCGGTACTGCTGCTGGCGGATCCTGCGCAGCGTGTGGCGGCGGCGCTCGTACTCGCCGAGCCCGAGCAGCGCGTCGCCCGGCGCGCGCTCCCGCGCCAGCAGCGGGTTGTTGGGCGAGTACTCGCCTGCCTTCAGCGTCATTGGAGACCGAGGATTGGATGGCCTACACTCTCCACGAGGACTAGTGGGGGAGGCTTGAGACCCAGGTATTAGATGTGACCTATGCTCCCCAGGCTGACTGATAGGGAGGCTTGATGTTTGTGTCATTCTCCCTTAGTCGCTTCTTACGCCATCCATGGAAGAGTGATGCTGGAATGGCTCCTTTAAGCTTGTGCTAGATCTTGGTTTTTGGCAGGCATTTATTCCATAGTTTTCCGCCTTCTCTAGGACGCATTGATCCATTAACAGAGACAAAGAAGTGACAGTGGTGTTAGTGACAACGGCATCTAAACGTAAGCTAGCTCTTGACTTTAGCTCACCTGATCCATATAGTCTCTGTTAGGCTGCTGGCATATCTTCCGAAGCGTGTAGTAGAAGCGCTCACTTTTGTCAGAGAACCCTCCCCAGGCTTGCTTATGGTGGGTGACAAGAATGTATATTCTTGCTAAGACTCACCTGGTCCAGATACTCCCGGTACTGCTGCTGGCGGATCCTGCGCAGCGTGTGGCGGCGGCGCTCGCATTTATCAAAGATCTTAAAAGTGGTGGGAAGTGGGAAACTTCCCCAAGCTTCCCTGTTGAAGTAAAGAGAAGTTTGTTCTAGATTCTTCTGTCTCACCTGGTCCAGGTACTCCCGGTACTGCTGCTGGCGGATCCTGCGCAGCGTGTGGCGGCGGCGCTCGTACTCGCCGAGCCCGAGCAGCGCGTCGCCCGGCGCGCGCTCCCGCGCCAGCAGCGGGTTGTTGGGCGAGTACTCGCCTGCCTTCAGCGTCTCTGGAGACCCAGAGTCATCCAGGTAACGGATTTGGCCTACACTCTTCAAGCTGACTGGTTGGGGAGCTTGATTTCCCATATTTCTCCCTTAGTCGCCTCTTACGACATTCCCAGGAAGAGTGAAGCTGGAATGTCCTCTTTAAACACATGCAAGCTCTTGACTTTTGACTTTCTTGATCCATATTATGCTGGAATATACTCCGCAATTTTTCGGCTTCCCTCGTGTCTACTCGTTGATCCATTCACAAACACAAAAAAGTTGCAGTGATGATAGTGGCAACGGCATTTAAACGTAAGCTAGCAATTGACTTTAGCTCACCTAGTCCATAAAATATAGTCTCTGTTTGGCTGCTGACATATCTTCCGAAGCGTGTAGCAAAAGTACTAGCTTTTGTCAGAGAACTTACAGTGGTGGGAACCGTCTCCAAGCTTCTCCATTGTGCTAAAAACATACGTTTTTGCTTACTCACTTGGTCCAGACACTCTCTGTACTGCTGGCGTATCTTCTGAAGTGTGTTGCAGCGGTGCTAGCACTTGTCAAAGAATTTTCAGTGGTGGGAGCACTGTTGTGGTAAAAAGAAGTTGACTCTAGATTCTTCTGTCTCACCTGGTCCAGGTACTTCCGGTACTGCTGCTGGCGGATCCTGCGCAGCGTGTGGCGGCGGCGCTCGTACTCGCCGAGCCCGAGCAGCGCGTCGCCCGGCGCGCGCTCCCGCGCCAGCAGCGGGTTGTTGGGCGAGTACTCGCCGGCCTTCAGCGTCACTGGGGGACCCAGGATTGGATGGCCTACACTCTCCACGAGGACTAGTGGGGGAGGCTTGATGTTCTCCCTTAGTCGCTTCTTACGCCATCCATGGAAGAGTGATGCTGGAATGGCTCCTTTAAGCTTGTGCTAGATCTTGGTTTTTGGTAGGCATTTATTCCATAGTTTTCCGCCTTCTCTAGGACGCATTGATCCATTAACAGAGACAAAGAAGTGACAGTGGTGTTAGTGACAACGGCATCTAAACGTAAGCTAGCTCTTGACTTTAGCTCACCTGATCCATATGGTCTCTTTTTGGCTGCTGGCATATCTTTCGAAGCGTGTAGCAAAAGCACTAGCTTTTGTCAGAGAACTTACAGTGGTGGGAACCGTCCCTAAGCATCCTTCCTGTAGAAAATAAGTTGGCTTTTGTTTTCTTCTCTAGCTCACCTGGTTCAGATACTCCCTGTACTGCTGCTGGCGTATCCTCCGCATTTTCTACCTTAGTCGCCTCCATGAACGAGTGAGGCTGGAATTGCCCCTTTTAACTTGTGCTAGATCTTATAATGACGTTTTTGCTGACTCACCTGGTCCAGATACTCTCTGAACTGCTGCTGGCATATCCTCCGCAGCGTGTTGCGGCGGCGCTCGCATTTGTCAGTCAAAGATCTTAGAGTTGTGGGAAGTGGGAAGCGTACGCTCTAGATTCTTCTGTCTCACCTGGTCCAGGTACTCCCGGTACTGCTGCTGGCGGATCCTGCGCAGCGTGTGGCGGCGGCGCTCGTACTCGCCGAGCCCGAGCAGCGCGTCGCCCGGCGCGCGCTCCCGCGCCAGCAGCGGGTTGTTGGGCGAGTACTCGCCGGCCTTCAGCATCACTGGGGGACCCAGGATTGGATGGCCTACACTTCCAATGCGAGATAGATGAAATGGAGATGCCTTATCTTTGGAAACTCTCCCGCAGTCACCTCTAAGAGTCTCTGACTGGTGGGGAGGCCTGATGTTAGCAAATTCTCCCACAGTCGCCTCTTGCGGCGTCCATGGAAAGAGTGAGTAGTCGCGACCATGGCATTTGTCAAAGAACTCATAGGGGTGGGAACCTTTCCCAGCAAGCTTTCCTATTGTGGCAAAAAGCATACTCTTTGTACCTACTGCTGGACCATGGCATTTGTCAAAGAACTCATAGGGGTGGGAACCTTTCCCAGCAAGCTTTCCTATTGTGGCAAAAAGCATACTCTTTGTACCTACTGCTGCTGGCGTATCTTATCTTCCGATGCGTGTACCAGAGGCGCTCGCTTTTTTCGGTGAGAGGAACCGTCCCCAAGCTTCCTTATTTGTAGCAAGAAAGTATGTTTTTTCTAGATTCTTCTATCTCACCTGGTCCAGATACTCCCGGTACTGCTGCTGGCGGATCCTGCGCAGCGTGTGGCGGCGGCGCTCGTACTCGCCGAGCCCGAGCAGCGCGTCGCCCGGCGCGCGCTCCCGCGCCAGCAGCGGGTTGTTGGGCGAGTACTCGCCTGCCTTCAGCGTCATTGGAGACCGAGGATTGGATGGCCTACACTCTCCACGAGGACTAGTGGGGGAGGCTTGAGACCCAGGTATTAGATGTGACCTATGCTCCCCAGGCTGACTGATAGGGAGGCTTGATGTTTGCATCATTCTCCCTTAGTTGCTTCTTACGGCGTCCATGGAAGAGTGATGCTGGAATGGCTCCTTTAAACTTGTGCTAGATCTTGGTTTTTGGCAGACATTTATTCCGTAGTTTTCCGGCTTCTCTAGTAAGTACGCGTTGATCAATTGACAGAGACAAAGAAGCTAGCTCTTCTTGACTTAACTCACCTGATCCATATAATCTCTGTTAGGCTGCTGGCATATCTTCCGAAGCGTGTAGCAAAAGCACTAGCTTTTGTCAGGGAACTTACAGTGGTGGGAACCGTCTCCAAGCTTCTCCATTGTGCTAAAAAACATACTTTTTGCTTGCTCATCTGGTCCAAATACTCCCTGTACTGCTGCTGGCGTATTTTCTGAAGTGTGTTGCAGCGGCGCTAGCACTTGTCAAAGAATTTTCAGTGGTTGGAGCACTGTTGTGGTAAAAAGAAGTTAACTCTAGATTTTTCTGTCTCACCTGGTCCAGATACTCCCGGTACTGCTGCTGGCGGATCCTGCGCAGCGTGTGGCGGCGGCGCTCGCATTTGTCAAACATCTTAGACGTGGGAATTGGGAAGCGCTTGCATTTATCAAAGATTTTAAGAGTGGTGGGAAGTGGGAAGCAAGTCTAGATTCTTCTATCTCACCTGGTCCAGATACTCCCGGTACTGCTGCTGGCGGACCCTGCGCAGCGTGTGGCGGCGGCGCTCGTACTCGCCGAGCCCGAGCAGCGCGTCGCCCGGCGCGCGCTCCCGCGCCAGCAGCGGGTTGTTGGGCGAGTACTCGCCTGCCTTCAGCGTCATTGGAGACCGAGGATTGGATGGCCTACACTCTCCACGAGGACTAGTGGGGGAGGCTTGAGACCCAGGTATTAGATGTGACCTATGCTCCCCAGGCTGACTGATAGGGAGGCTTGATGTTTGTGTCATTCTCCCTTAGTCGCTTCTTACGCCATCCATGGAAGAGTGATGCTGGAATGGCTCCTTTAAGCTTGTGCTAGATCTTGGTTTTTGGCAGGCATTTATTCCATAGTTTTCCGCCTTCTCTAGGACGCATTGATCCATTAACAGAGACAAAGAAGTGACAGTGGTGTTAGTGACAACGGCATCTAAACGTAAGCTAGCTCTTGACTTTAGCTCACCTGATCCATATAGTCTCTGTTAGGCTGCTGGCATATCTTCCGAAGCGTGTAGCAAAAGCACTAGCTTTTGTCAGGGAACTTACAGTGGTGGGAACCGTCTCCAAGCTTCTCCATTGTGCTAAAAAACATACTTTTTGCTTGCTCATCTGGTCCAAATACTCCCTGTACTGCTGCTGGCGTATTTTCTGAAGTGTGTTGCAGCGGCGCTAGCACTTGTCAAAGAATTTTCAGTGGTTGGAGCACTGTTGTGGTAAAAAGAAGTTAACTCTAGATTTTTCTGTCTCACCTGGTCCAGATACTCCCGGTACTGCTGCTGGCGGATCCTGCGCAGCGTGTGGCGGCGGCGCTCGTACTCGCCGAGCCCGAGCAGCGCGTCGCCCGGCGCGCGCTCCCGCGCCAGCAGCGGGTTGTTGGGCGAGTACTCGCCGGCCTTCAGCATCACTGGGGGACCCAGGATTGGATGGCCTACACTCTCCACGAGGACTAGTGGAGGAGGCTTGAGACCCAGGTATTGGATGTGACCTATGCTCCCCAGGCTGACTGATAGGGAGGCTTGATATTTGTGTCGTTCTCCCTTAGTTGCTTCTTACGCCATCCATGGAAGAGTGATGCTGGAATGGCTCCTTTAAGCTTGTGCTAGATCTTGGTTTTTGGCAGGCATTTATTCCATAGTTTTCCGCCTTCTCTAGGACGCATTGATCCATTAACAGAGACAAAGAAGTGACAGCGGTGTTAGTGACAACGGCATCTAAACGTAAGCTAGCTCTTGACTTTAGCTCACCTGATCCATATAGTCTCTGTTAGGATGCTGGCATATCTTCCGAAGCGTGTAGTAGATAGAAGCGCTCGCTTTTGTCAGAGAACCCTCCTCAAGCTTGCTTGTTGTGGGTGGCAAGAAAATATGCTCTTGATATTAGGCTCACCTGGTCCAGATACTCCCTGTACTGCTGCTGGCGGAGCCTGCGCAGCGTGTGGCGGCGGCGCTCGCATTTGTCAGTCAAAGATCTTAGAGCGATGGGAAGTTGGAAGCGTACGCTCTAGATTCTTCTATCTCACCTGGTCCAGGTACTTCCGGTACTGCTGCTGGCGGATCCTGCGCAGCGTGTGGCGGCGGCGCTCGTACTCGCCGAGCCCGAGCAGCGCGTCGCCCGGCGCGCGCTCCCGCGCCAGCAGCGGGTTGTTGGGCGAGTACTCGCCGGCCTTCAGCATCACTGGGGGACCCAGGATTGGATGGCCTACACTCTCCACGAGGACTAGTGGGGGAGGCTTGATGTTCTCCCTTAGTCGCTTCTTACGCCATCCATGGAAGAGTGATGCTGGAATGGCTCCTTTAAGCTTGTGCTAGATCTTGGTTTTTGGTAGGCATTTATTCCATAGTTTTCCGCCTTCTCTAGGACGCATTGATCCATTAACAGAGACAAAGAAGTGACAGTGGTGTTAGTGACAACGGCATCTAAACGTAAGCTAGCTCTTGACTTTAGCTCACCTGATCCATATAGTCTCTGTTAGGCTGCTGGCATATCTTCCGAAGCGTGTAGCAAAAGCACTAGCTTTTGTCAGGGAACTTACAGTGGTGGGAACCGTCTCCAAGCTTCTCCATTGTGCTAAAAAACATACGTTTTTGCTTGCTCATCTGGTCCAGATACTCCCTGTACTGCTGCTGGCGTATCTTCTGAAGGGTGTGGCAGCGACGCTTATATTTATCAAAGAACTTACAGTGGTGCTGGTGGGAACTATCAACAAGCTTCCGTGCTGTGGAAATAAAGATTCTTCTATCTCACCTGGTCCAGATACTCCCGGTACTGCTGCTGGCGGATCCTGCGCAGCGTGTGGCGGCGGCGCTCGTACTCGCCGAGCCCGAGCAGCGCGTCGCCCGGCGCGCGCTCCCGCGCCAGCAGCGGGTTGTTGGGCGAGTACTCGCCTGCCTTCAGCATCACTGGCAGACCCAGGTATCGCTGTAAATAATAAAAATGCTTCACATCTTCTCTTCCCATAATAGAAAGGTAACACGACCAAACTCATTTATTTTTTACCCAGGAAACATCCATATTATTGAATATCGATGAGGGAAACTGGACTAAAGCCCGGTCCGTGAGCACGTAGAATTTTGTCCAATGACCCCTAGCTACCCATCATCGCTCACGCGTAATTATGTTGCTGTCGCGACTGAACGACTGGCACCCGCAGTGAGTGTGCGAGCGCGATAGCAACATAATTACGCGCGAGCAACAAGGATGGGTAGCTTGGGGTCATTGGACAAAATTCTACGTGCTCACGGACCAGACTATAGAAGACCTGTAATCCTGTATGACAGATTGCCAGTGTCTCCTCATCCGAACCATGAAGCTGTAAGTACGGCATCATTTGTAAGGACAAGGATCAGTTGTTGTACACATAGCAGAAAGAATTAACTTTCGGATATAGAAGCTGATATCGAAAAACACTCTAAAGACGAATAGCTGTTTAAATGTTTTTCGGACAGTCAGAAAATACATACAACGCAGCTCGAAGGCCTACAAAAGACTGCACGAAAAGAATATGATGGATATCACAGCGTGGACATAAAAATAAAACGAATACATAATAAATGATACACTTTTTTTGGTATCTATAAAGAATCTCTGTTGACGTGATTTACTGAAATGGTGACAATGACGTCACTGAAATGGTGATGGTGCCACTGAAAAATTCGGTGGCAAATAGTAAAAGAAAAACTTTATGGGTAAACAAATCACTCGTAATAGACTCTAGTTGACCCGCATAACTGAAAAAATGCTATTTGTATTTAGATTGGCCTTATTAAACATATGAAGAAGGCCTTGGAGTTTAATAGGTTGAATATTTACTATAAGTATTTACCACAAGAGGCAAAGCCCTAAGACGCGGCTTCCACATAAAGCGAGAGAAAAGGAGAGGAAAGGAGAGCAAAGGGGAGAAAAGGAGACGAAAAGAGACGTGTTTTGAATAACCATTCGGTTTGGTAGAAACCGGGCTTAAGTTAATAAATCAAATACGGTCAATTGAAAAGCAAATTAAAACTGTTTTTATTACAACATCGTATAAATAACCGTGAACATTCGAGAACTACAATAATAAATTCGGATGTCAATTAGACAACGACTAATTACATAATAACAATTAATGTCACACAATATAATTATTCGATCGCTCTTTTTACCCGACTGCGCCTAGAAGGATGGTTATGTTTTTACTTTTTTTGACGAGGAGGTACGAGTAATTCTTTGCGCACCGTCACCACTGCCGGGGGACAGGGTGGTGTGTGGGACTCCCGACGCCCTGAAAAGGGCACTGCTCCGTCCTGAAAAGGACAGGGTAAATATACTGTAGCGGACGAGGCGAAGAAGATCGGCAAGACCTAGAGCGAGATCAAGCGAGAAGCTCAAGACCGAACGAGATGGAGGACTGTTGTGGACGCCCTCTGCCCCCCATCTAGGGGACATAGGAACATAAGTCAAGTAAGTCAAATATACCCACTTAAAATCTCGGCGTTCCGTCATCGCCCGAGTGGGGGTGTCGCGAGTATCCGGCCGTAGCCTTTAGACTTCTGCGGATATATTTTTACTTTCTATTGTTTTAGAATCGCTGTGGAACAACGAGGAATCGTATTGTGGGTCAGAGACCGCTTCGAAAGCAGAACCGGGTGTGGCAACATGTAAATAAGTCTATTGGGTTGATTAGTCACAGCCTAAATAGGAAAGTCAGTCTAAAGTACACCCTGTTCTGAAGCACAACTGCCCAAGGTCTCAAAATAACTCTAATTTGTTTTTATCTGCATCAGTAGACCATCATCATGAGGTTCCAATAGAACTAGTGAGTCTTATTGTCCATTGGAATTGGCAAAAATACCAATGGTGTTGGTTTCTGATAGGCCGAATCGAAATCAAACCTGGGTTCCATCCCCGGCGTACCACTCGCTCTCTGGTTTATTATCTCGTATCACAAGCACATTTAGCTAACCACGCGGTGTTGACTGGGTCTTTAAAAAATTACAAAATTCTAATTTAGCTTTAACAAACGTCAAAAATCTGTCAAACATAAAAAAAAACTCGATACAAAAAACGCCGGTTATTGTTATGGTTACTGATTAAGTAAGATGGTGCAACCCAGGCTAACTTATACATTTTGTTTCGCATTCAAAAAGGTATTCAGTTTTTTTGCACAAAGTGAACTGGCTGATTAATCCGCGCTTTGTCGCGTGCACTGATGGCATGCAACGCACTCATTAATCACAGAGCGATTAACCACTTAATTAATTGATACAGCGATTGTGTGTGGACGTAATTACGTCGCGGGTAATATGCGAACACTTGGTAACGGAAACGACCGCAAAAAATCCATAAAAATATTTAAATGGCAAAAAAAATTTGCACATTTTTAAAAAATAACAACACAATGGGCTGAGAAGGCAGGGGCAGACACTAGGTCTGAATATAATAGAATAGAATAGAATAGAAAGTATTTGTTTGTCTCAAAACAGTACTCTTCTATAATAATTTGACGTGAATGGTACATGAGTGTAGAGGAAATAGTCATTATTATCATGTATAATTTATTTAAAATATTTCGGACAAACTACGAATATTGTTGAAAACGTAAAGCTGTTGTAAATTATGTTTGAAAGTTGAGCAACTATAATTTTTAACTACCTATGATTTAGTCATTTATAAAATTGCCCTAATCCACATTCTGACTTCAGCAAATTACCAATTACCATTTTCTACAGTCTGTTAAAAAAGTGTGTGCATAAGAATGGACGTTTATGTCTTTGTGAACAAGATTTTTTCAAAGATTTCATGCCATTATGTGTTGATTGCTTTGAATTTTATAACATCATTAGTGGTCGTATACTTTTAATTGTATGCCAAGAACATTTCTTCGGAAAGGCTATGGAAGCAAAGAAAAGCATTTATAAAGGCTGTTTCACGTGTTTTTTTAAACCACAAGGAGGTAGCTCTTGGCCTGTATCTCACCTGAAGGAAAGTGATGTTCAGGCAGGTGGAAACGACCCTCACCCGGAATCCTCAACCACAGAGGAACTGGCTATCTCACTTCCGTTGTTATGGCGACAGCCTTAGGGTTGGCTAAGACTGTGGTAACTTGCCAGGCGTCATTAGAACAAGCCCTAACACCATCTTAAACGAACAGAAAGATCTGCCCCCACTGGAAAGCGAACTAAATAAAGGTTTTCACATTGCATATTCGTAGCGCGTGACATTTCTTTTATTCGCTTAGTGCTCCGTATTTAGTCGACATTACCATACATTACTTAGTAGTCTTTGTTGCCAAATCTTTTTAATATTTGATTAGATTAGAAACTATATTGACGCTGTGCCTGTATTTGTCCGAAAATATTTATTTAAATATTTTGTGTGAGAACGTGGCCACTCCAGAACCTTACTGCCCCATCGGCCGTCAGTTTTGCGTACTATGTGCCCTGCCTATTGCCACTTCAGCTTGCTAATCCGTCAGGCTAAGTCAGCGACTTTAGTCAAATTCGCACGCATGGCGCTATTCGCTCTCGCGTGGCTATTAAAAGGGTTGGTCAAAATTCAGTAGGTCAAGGCTATGAGTTCGCTCGTAATGGGTGAGGCTGGCTATGTTCCAAACAGCACTGCTATTCATCAAAATTTTAATTATGTTGGCTATTAACTAGAAAAAGTGGAGCGAGCGTTTAAGGTAGGGAGAATTCCTTTCGCACCTACTGCAAAGTATCGATTGACAGACAGAATCAGACAGCATGAACCTGATAAGTTGTCAACTTGAAATAGTTTTTTTCATTTTTGAAAACCTAATTTAAGCTATTAATAGGGAATTTAAAAAATGCAATGCAACATACATGCCTGAATGCCACAATGCACGAAATCCACTGGCATGCCAGAAAATTGTGTATAGTCAGCTAGCAACTCCATTCGAGTTATTAAAGGATGGAAAATTAAATGGGATTAAAAGGTTGGAAAATAATAAACTGAAATAATAATTATTTTATGTTTACCTTGATGTGCTATCGTCTGTAGTTAGTGACTGTACTGACTGTACAAATAGTAGAAATTAAAATGTATTTAGTTTAGAACACGTGTAACATAATGACCAAACCAACACATTATTGTTTGTTCATCAAGAACTAGAAGCAAATAAATTATGTACTACGCAACTGACATTGACTGGCATACTGTAGGAATATTCCAACAAGCAATGAAAGCATAGTTACATTGAAATTCTAGAATGTAATAAATATCTATTTAAATATTTCAATCAGATATGATAGATTATAGATAGCTCTTCAACGCGCTAATCTCAGGAACTAATTATCCGATTTGAAAAAATTTTATTGTATCGGATAGCCCATTTATCGAAGAAGGCTTTAGCCTAATTGGGTATAACATCACCATACAAGCCAATAGGGGCGAAGAAGTAAATAAAAATGTTGCAAAAACGGGAAAAAATATTTAAACTATTTTCACGCGTGCGAAGTAGTGGGCACAGTTAGTTTGATCATACATAAAGCTTGACTGATCCAGAAGCACGGATCTTCGCCAAGGCTGCGCACGAGTCGCCGGATGCGCATCGCGCCAATGTCGCCAGTCAATGGGCTATCAACATCATCTGTCAACACGACAATCCTATCTTCCTGTGTTTTGTTCTAGCGATTGTCTATGAAGATCGATGCGGTGAATAAAACGCACGAGGATTACCAGTATTGCAGGAAATAGGTCCTAAAACAGCATAATATGTTAATCGCTTCAATTAAATTATCATAAAATCGAAGACCAATGAAATTTCTGAACGTGTTATGCCTTATAGTTAAACCTCTCTCGAATAAGTGAGTTTGGGATCGATTCCCAGGTGGAACACATAGAGTCAAAATTAACCTCATGGTCTGAAACCCAAGTCTGAAAAGAATAATTTGTGCTTAAAATTCGTCGTCGGTCACAAACTTATCGGTTCAATATCGAGTCTTATCAAACAATAAAGAGAACTGAGGTGGAATTGTGTAAAGCAATCATTATCATTAAATTTGACAGTTCATAACGTACGATTATTCTGTCAAACGCTTTGATTAACTGACTTTATCGTACGTTATGAACTGTCAAATGATACGATTGCTTTACACAATTTCACCTCTGTTTGTATTTTACAAAACAAAAGAATTGGCATATTTACAAACCTTGACCAAATCTATTCACTGATGGTTTTTTTTTATGTGACAGGAGGCAAATGAGCAGACGGATCACCTGATGGTAAGTGATTACCTTATCTTACCTTTAGAGGGTTAAAATCCTCCATAAAATAAACTGCAACAGTTAGCAACATTCACTTTCACTGGTTCACAAACTGAACTTTAATTTTCTTCTTAATAATTCCAATATGTATTTTTTTTTACATTTGGAAAAAATCAAGACCCAAAAGAAAATAAAAGAAACTAATAAAAAAACTTATGGACTGTTAAAAAACTTAATAAAATATTTTCTTCAAACACAAATCACATAACTAAACACGAAATAGTCGTATAATTTTTTGAATTTGCACATTTCTTTACAAATATCCCGAACTGGCCTAAAACAAAACTTCGAAGGTTCTTCGACGCGAGCTAACGGGCGACTGCACGCGACGGTATGGACTAAATAAACTAATAGCATACTAGGGTGATACTAAGGTGTGCTCTATTCTCTATTGCTTCATTCGTAGATCTTTGGGGCTACAGACTGGAGGTAAACTTAATTTTTATCCAGTAAAGGGGCGAACAATGCATACTATTATTTATTACTAGACAGATCCTGCCCCTTGCCTGCTTACTGAAAATCCCTACTACCGACCTCAAAATTAAGGATGAATATTTTTTATATTTGGAAACTAAGTAGGTATCTATTGTGATTTGTGTGTGACGTAATATGATCCAATTACCAAAACTGTAAACTATCATTATTATTTATCTTTGCCCTTTATAGAAAAGAAGAATATGATATCATAACATAATATCATTCTAGAAGCCAACAAAAGTAGTACTTAGGCACATCATGTAAAAAGCTGAAACTGTAACCAAGACGGCATTTTTCTATTTTCATTTTTAGCATTTTCCTTCATATCACCGGTTAATCTAGGCCTATGTTTCAGCGATGGACTTTATGTGGCTGAAATGATGATGATGATTCGCATATTAATCAAGGCCAGAAGAGCTGTTCTCTAGAACCCGAAAATACCTCGACCACACATAATTTCAACTAAACTAGGGTGAATCTTTGAGGTGGCACTCAACCTCAATTGTAGTCACACTGTCTGGCACTTGAAGGTCGTAGATTTAAGATATTATTATAGCGTACACGTGCTACCTTCTATTTGTCCCAATTAAAGCTTTTTTTTTTCGGACTAACAATAGCCGGTGGGACGTCCACCCACAAGGTGGACCGACCTTGTATAGGTAGCAGGAAGGCGCTGGATGTAGGCCGCTACCAACCGGGCGATGTGGAAATCATTGGGATTGAGAGAGGCCTATGTTCAGCAGTGGACGTTCTGTGGCTGAAATGATGATGATGAATAACGACTTTTCCAACTTCACCTCACAATAGGACAAAATCCTCTTAACCTCAAAAGAGCAACAAGGTTAAGAGTTTTTAAGAGCAAAAATGTTTAAACTTTAAACTGAAATGAGAGAATAATCCTAGATTAACGAAAGTTGCATGAAACAGGAGAACTTTTCAGACAGGCGAATTACATTTTCAGTTTTAACATTTCGCTGGCATTAAATGTTTTCTGAACAATTTACAAAGGTAAAAAAATCTGTTTGGTTAAAACGTATTTGGCAATTAACTAATCCTTGGACTTTTTTTGTAGTTAAATAGGGAAATCCTTTGCTAGATAATGTACGGATGGTATGAATTAACTAGGAATAAAAACTACACATTATGACAATAGGAACATTATGATGTGATTTTTTTGGTTTCGATTCCGTCAGTGGAAATACTTTTACTTGTACACGTAGAAAAATCGAAGGTCGTAGGCACGGGACTATCCCACCTCTCGTTCCCACCGCTGCAACTCCTGTATAGCCAGGATCTACAACTTGACCGCCAAGCTATCAATAAAAGCCCAACTAGTAAAGGTGAAGTTTGTCCCGGAAAAGTTAAACTGTCATTGGACCCGCAACGAAATTAATTAGAAGAATAAAAGAGAAATTCAAAGGCAGGGACCGTGTGCCTATTTTTCTTTCTAGAACAATAAAGCCCCTTTCAATCTTTCCATCGTCTACCTTAATTTAGTATTTTTAATTTCCAATTCCGCCACAAGTCATCGTGATTCGCAAACGGTTTCAGTCACGCAACGCATAGCAATATAGGCCGTAGGGTGTGTGCGATACGTCATATAGCTGTAGATCAAAGATAAATGGGAAACAATGCCATAAAGGTGGAATTGGATTGTCGGCCTATTTTTTTGGATTATTTCACTGAACAGTCTGTGAACTTATTTGCGTACTTCGCTCACATGTCTTACGCCCGTATTCACAAACGATGCTTGCTTAAGTGAAGCAGCAAATTGAACGCACAGCGTTGAATAGAGCTCAGTGATTGGTTCGTGTGTCACCCTGTGCGTCCACGCGCACTGTGAGACCACATAGTAATGATTTGCCACACTTGATGCGTTCTGCGTTCAGCGGTCAGTTCAATGTGAACGCAGCCCGCATCGCGTACAAGCAATGGGTACAAAGCGGTACGAAATGAGCCTGACCACAGTCGAAAAACCCGTGCTACAGATCCTTGTGCTATTCAGATTTCAGCTTTCATAATTCTCCATGCTGGATTAACAGCCCGACCTAACTATCGGCCAACTAAAAGTCTGTGGTCTGCGCTTAGGCTAACTGCTAGCCAAATCTTAGGCCAGGAAAATCTTTACACTCATCCAGCATCATCATCATCTCAGCCATAGGATGTCCACTGCTGAACATAGGCCTCCCCCAATGCTTTTCATGTTGCCCTTTACACTCAACTTTTAATTTAAATGCAACTTACAATTCATTACATTACTGAACCTAAATCTTTCAGAGTCTACTATACTACCAAGATATACTCGTACTTAGCCTACTCCAATAGCAGGAGCGGCCGAGGTGTCTAGGCGCGGC